TTTTTTTTTTTTTTTTTGGATCTCGGGGACGGGCTAAAGTAAATACTCACTGCATTCCAGATTACGTTCTCATACAGGGAATTCGCGGACTTTGATGTACATAGGTGGTATGTCTGTATGTACAGTAGAAGCAAGTGAAAGTTGTGACTTCCGGCCACGGCTTGAACGGGCCTCCGCCTCTGGGACATATCGCCGTGAGGCTGATGATCTCTCTTCAACTAAAAGAAGTCAGGGAAACCCCATCAAAACCGGCGAATCACGTTACCGCGCGGTGAGAGCTTCACTGGACACGCCCAGAACAGCAAGACAGCTGCCCATCAAACATCGGCTGGTTTCCCCATTTCTTTTCACGTGGAGTCGAGCAATGCGGGGAGATGATATCCAAGGAGGAAGCCACTCAGCCAGCTGGTGATCTTCACAGAGCATCACCACCGTAGGAAGGTGTTCACTCCGAGTGGGTGATGCGCGCGTGTTGAAACAACCCAGTTCAGATGGAGTTGGATACTGGTATCGTTGGGCTCGAATGATGGCTGGAGGAGGACCTGAGCGAAGTAACACTTTGTAGGTAGTGTCAAGATGGGGATCCCCAGTTTGGAAACGCCCTAACCTTATCCACGTGAAGGGGCCTCGGGGGCCAACTGTTTTTTATTGCTCAAGGGGTTCTTTTCATTGCGACCGGCAGCGGTTGTGGGGCCGACCACTCAGAGCCTGAGTTGAGGTTTGGATTTGGGAGTTGGGGTTCATCCCGTCCTTCTTTCATCGCAAGGGCGGGCACTCACGGACTGAACAAGAGAAAGCTAAGAGTGAGCATGATAGTATTGGTGCTCGCAGGCGGACAAAGGTAGTCAGACAGATGCTTTTCGCTCGCCATCGGATCGGACGACTCGGGCGTCGTTACAACTAAGGAACAGAGCAGGAAACATGACAGAGATGCCTACAAAAGCCCGCCTTGCAGTTGGGCGCCGCCGCAGAGGACCTGCAAACTGCAGTGGCTTGATGCTCGATGGACGATGGCCCGTCGATGGAACCTTGATGGGGAAACCAGGGCGAGATGGATCATGCAGGCCAAGTGTGGAGATGACCCCAAAGGGGTTTAGTGGCCCTGGAGCACTCAGAGTGCCTGGCGAAAGAGCCACCGAGGCATGAAACTGAGAGACATTTTGGAGATGGGCTTCAGTTGGGAATTTAACTTCACAGCCTCATCATCTTCGTCGTCATTCAGAGACAGAGGTCGAGTTGTATAGAAATGCCTTTCCCCCCAAAGCTGTGCCCGCGTTGTTCTGTCTTCTTTTTCTATTCTCCGGCTGGTTCCTGCTCCCCAACTTCCCCGCGTTTTTCCCTTCTTTTTTTTTTCCCTCTCCATTTCGCAAAGAGAACCCAAGAACCCAGCAACAAACATCGTCACCACCGCACCGTCGTGGTCACCTGTCACTCTTTGCGCAAGTGGCCTGTGACTATCCGTTTCTCTTTATTGCCGTGATCCGTGTGTACCGCGCTGGCCACCGGGCCTCGACTCTTCGTTGTGCACCGCAGACAGACGGTTTCTACATTACACTGATTGTTTACTCTTTTGAAATCATCATTTCCATTCTGAACAAAACCCAGGCAAGATAAGATAGATTGAAAGGGCGAAGCGAGACCCTTTGGCAATTCGGCTGGGGATCGCACATTGCGCTCCTCTCACCCTTCCCCACCGCCTCCACCTATCAAGTAACAGCCGGCACGGGAACCCTGCGTCTGGCACACCCCCATTGCAATCTCCTTTTCGGATCATTCGCAGTGTGCTTTTGAAGACTGGAGACTGCAAGACTAGAGACTACGGGAGGAAATAGCTCGCCTCGCCGCCCACCTGCCCGCCTGCCCGCCGGAAGAACGCTGCCACTGCCACTACCACTGCCACTGCCACTGGAAAGCCAAAGTCAACAGAAAGCACAATCCCTTCTCTCCGGTCCTCCCTTTTTCCTCTCCTTCTGTTCGCACTCCCGACTGCTTGTCACTGGACATCCACACACCAAGGGTCAATATTCGCACTCTCTTGGTGCTTGATCGCGTCCACGCCCATATTGAACAACAACAACTACAGTACCCTCTTTACTACACTTTACCATTAACCCGCGACACCGATCGATCCTGGCCGGTCGACGAGAAAGAAGCATCTCAAGCTAATTCTTACTCCTATTTTCGCTCCCTCTCTCTCCATTTTCCATCCCAAGCACCGTCTCCCTCAGACGCCGGCTCCAGACCAGACACACAGCTCAGCCTCCAGCCCAGCGAGTCTCGCACTCCCATCGTCCGTCACCTTGCAGTTTGCAGTCCAGTTGGTGGTCAGTCGACCCGAGACCAAGTCCTCCGCTTTTCGCAACCACCCCTCAAAGAAGAAGCCAACCGCCCGCTCGTGTCACACCACCGGGACCGATTCGGAAGCCCAGGGACGTCGGAAAACAACAGGGAGAAAGATCGCCATTTCAGGTTGTTTGTGTCGCTACAAGTAGGCCACGGCCACTTTGGGAACAGAACGGGAAGCGCGATCTGGGAAGCAGTGCCTGCATATTTGTAGTGAAATTATCCTTCACGGGCATTTCACTCAAAGACCCCGTGCGATCGCAATTGGGTTCGAGTTCAACGTCTCGAGCGCCAATCAACCAAAAAACACAGACCGGCTGTGGCAGCGTTGCGTCGCGTGGCGAAACACAGCCCTTCAAGACTCAAATAGTCCAGTCGGAACCCGCGGCCGTTGGCTAATTCAAGGTTCCAAGGGACATTTGGGATCGACCTGTTGTTGGCTGTTACCTGCTCTTTTATATTTGGCCAGGGACAAACCGTCATCAACCACCACCTCCCCGGCAATTCGTCCATCCTGCAAAGCCAAGTGCGCAACCCGAGCTTCTTATCTGGTATGACGCGAGCCCACGGCACGGCAACCCAGAACCGCAAAACACTTTAAAGACCCGTATCACAGACCGCGCGTCCGCATCCCGCAGCACGCATCCGGAGCAGATACGGCACCATACGGCACCTGCTCACATAGCTCAGACAGACATACAACGAGCGTTGGCGGCCAACAAACCGGGCAACCCAAACAACCACTAGCATCAGCACCGGACGAACGAACCGTGCCCAGAGCACCACTGCATTCCAGCACACCCCGCCCAACACCACAAAGTTAGCCCATCATGGCGTTTTTCCAGTCGGAGCAGAATGGTGAGTGCCTGAACGGTTCCCTTTTATATCTTTCACAAAGCAAGGAACCCGGCCCTGGACGATCTGCTCCCCTTTCTGCCCCCTTCCCAAACACACGGCCCCCCATTTTGCATGGCTTTGTTTAGCGGCCTCCCCCTCAATTGCAGCAGAATAGAAACGGCCGATCCACCCATTGGCATGTTCTGAAGGTTGCCGCTTTTCCCACTTCCCAGTTTTTCGTCCATCTTTGTTCCATTGGGGGCTCCTGCCTGGTCTCTTGGCTGCCCTGGGCGCTACCTTATCAGTGCGCTCCGCCGTTGAGTCCGCTGTGTCATGTAGAGGAGATTGCTGTTTCATATCCCTATCACAGGCGTCACTCGCATGCATGGTGCCGCTGCTCCCAAATCCACCCTTTTTTTTTTTTTTTTTTGCTTTCCTTGATTGACGGCTCGCTGACGCTTTGGGGTTTTCCCCTGACCTGGGATTTAGATCAGCGGTCTACTGGCTTGTCGCTCAATTCAAACAATCCTTTCCGCAACCGTGACCGTGCCTCTCCCACCACTTCAGGACCTCTTATCTCCCCATTTGACGATCCCCCTCCGAGACCTACCTCGCGGAACCCTTTTCTCGACATCGGTGCTGCCAACAACACTCGTCCGATTTCACAAACCAACCGATCAGTTTCCGATACAATGTCTGGCTTTGGAAGGAAGCCGTCCGCCACGGCCGAGGACCTGTTTGTAGGTTGTCCCCGATCCTCCCACTTGCGGCTGTAACAAGTCACAAGCCCTTATTTGCTGGGTGTCATGGAGCCGGAGCAATGTCGTACCGATTGACTGACATTTATTTCGTAGGGCTCCCTCACCCTCGATGACAAGCCATCTGGCTCGAGGCCGCCCCCGCCGCCGGCAGCCCGCCGACCTGTGCCTCCCCCAGCAGGACGTGAGAATGCCAACCCCAGAGGACCTCCTCCCGCTCATCGCCCGTCTCGCTCTCAAGAGGAAGACCCTCGCTCCAGGAGGCCCCGTGGAAACGGAAATAGCGGCACACTCATCGACATCGACTCTCCCCCGCAGCAGCGAAGAACGGAGAGGCGTCCGCGCAGGAACTCGGATACGTCCGTGCTTGATTTGACCGAGGATGAGAAGGAGAAGAGGGCCCGTGATGCCAGGCGGCGTGAGCGCGAGCGCGAGCGTCGTCACCGTGAAAACAAGGAGAAGAAGCCTACCAACCGCAAACTCGACATTATTGACCAGCTTGATGCCACAAGCATTTATGGAACCGGAAGTGAGCTATCCCCAAATCCATGTCTGCTTTTCAGCGCTAACAGGCATCACCAACAGTGTTCCATCACGATGGCCCGTTCGATGCTCTCAACCCCCACCGGAACAAGAAGTCAAGTAGACCCGCTCCTATGGAAGCCTTCCCTGAAGGCTCGCTGAACAACAGTCTTGGTGGCGCTGGACCTTTGAACCCCCGACCCGATCATGCCACGTTCATGGGTCAACACGACCAGGAGGCCTATATCGATTGGCAAACCAAGGACAAGAATGTTCCATCCAAGAGTGAGCTGCCCGTTTTCGACCCTACCGCCCGCGGCAGCGCCGTGCACGGTGACGAGTCTCTGGGACTTGGCAGTTCGACTTTCTTGGAAGGCACACCGGCTGCGCGTACCGCGATCCAGCAACGCCAAGACGAGCTTGCTCAGGAGTTGACTACCAATGGTCTGGCACGCAAGAAGTCCCTTGCTCACCGGATTCGCAACATCAACAAGGGCACTTCCCGTGAGCGGGAGTTCCAGTCTCTTGGCAGACTCAACAGCACGGATTACAACTACGCGAGGTCTCCCCCAGGCGACGGCGGTAGAACTTCTAACAGCATGAATACCCCAAACTCGGAGCGCAACCCCTTCTTTTCGGAATACAGCCAGGGCAAGGGAGGAGAGGAGGGCTTTAGCGTGCGGAGGACCGACAACAACTGCCCTAGAGGGAACCTGGAGCGTCGGGCCACCACAGATGCGGCCATGAACCTCGAGGAAGCACAACAAAAGCCAACCGGTATTATCGGCCGCATGAAGAGTTTGAAGGGCGGACGGAGGACCCGTCCTGCCCCTCCTGGCGCTGATGCCGGTCCTGTGCCCTCGCAATACGCGTAGAAACGGGTATTGTCCTGGGGCGAGCGGCGTGAAGGTGAAACGAGCTAGCATCAGCACCTGAAGCCCAAGTTTGCCGAGTTGTTTTATGCCAAGATCTGACGCGAGGAATTGCTAAGCACGACGTATGGCTCCATACACGGCCGCCGGGATCGTTCGAGCAGGACCTCCGTTCTGGGCGCAAAGGGTTGTTTCTCGGTAGCAGATGGGGAGGAAAACGATCGCGGCGTGCAGGGAAACTCCTGTACAAAAAGAATTGCTAATCTTTTGCTTTTGGTGCGCAAATGATGGGAGGAGAGTAACAGGCGTGTGTGCTCGTCGGGACCGCCGCTCCTATTGGTGCTCTTACTATCTTCATTATCTCTCTCTGTCTGTTTAGTTTTTGTTAAACGTCAATGGGAGTCCGACGATTCCTCTTATCCGGGCGGCTATTTCTTCGCGGTCGTCTTTTTTGCATTGTTTCGTCCTGCAGCTGCTCAACGAGAATCAACGCACAGTACCATACCAAGTTTTACCTAGCACATAATCAAGGACATCACCTTTGGAATTGTATGGTTTAGTCTACTGAGTCGTCCTTCAACAAACATGGAATAGTGTTGTATGTATGTATTATTAGACAATTGAGAATACGAATGATGGATTGTGGTATATCTTTGAAAATTACAACCGGTGACTGACGGCGATACTTTGCCCTTGTGTCATCGTAATGTTTTGCTACCGTGTTGAAGTTTTCTCGTCCGAGATTCTTGCAGCAGCGCCACTCGCATATTGTCTCCAACTCGCACATCGATTCTTCGGACGAAACAAATTTGATTTTCAACAAACAGTGACTACGTCAACCAAACATCCAACCACATCAAAAATGTTCTCATGATAACAAACCCCCATTAAATTTTCACGGACACTCTAGACGATCACCTAGAAATCACCCCTCATCAGCCACGACATCACCACATATTTCTGCACCAAAGTGGAACTGAAGCCACCACCCTCAACCCCAGGTTCCGCCCCAACACCAAAACATTCAACCCGTCGGTCGCATCCTTCCCATGTTACAACCAATACCCGCCTCCACTCTCCTCCCCCAAGACCCCAGAATCTCACGACTTCGCGGTCATGATCGCAATGGTTTGTTATTCTCCACCGGGTGTCGCGAGCTCGACTCCCACGTTCTCCTTGGCGGCGGAGCAACAGGAGCAGCAGCAGCAGCAGGAGCAAGATTCGAAGGGGGTTTCGAGCCGGGTTGCGTGGTAGGAATAAGCAGCGAAGAAGAGACAATAGGGTTGGGGATTGGGTTGCAGGTTGTTGCTAGGATGTTGTTGTCGTCGTCTGATCCTGCTTCGATAAAATCAAAAGAGGGGAAGGCGAAGGCGATGATCATCACGACACTTTCCACGACGAGTTTGTTGCCGATGTTGAGGCTGGCGTTGGTTAGTGAGGCTAGGGTGCTGCTGCTTCAAGGGGATGGCAGTGGGAACGGACAGCAGCAACAGGTGGATAGGGCAACGATCAAAAGTTGTTTGGAACGGGTATTGGTGGCGAGGGTTTTTGATGCGGAGGGGTTAAGAGAGGTTTTGAGGGAGTTGGAGGAGAGTACCTCTACCTTTAAGCAAAATGCTCCTGCTCTTGGTACTTCTTCAACTGCTTCAGCTACGGTGGTGGATGATGGTCACGGGAAAGGGGAAGCAGGACGAGGCTGAAGGAGGAGGAGGAGGAGGAGGAGAAGGGGAGGAGGAGGAGGAGGAGGAAGGGCACAACAAGGAGAGAACTCAGACGACAACGCAAACGACCATCTACCATCCCTAATCCTAATAACCAACACCTCCCATCTCCTCAACACCCTCTTCCAAACCGCCCCCCGCAACAACAAGACCGGCAGCGACAGGTTCTCAGCACACAACTCGGCCGTTCAACTATCTGATCAAATCCGTGAGATCAGTCGGAAGGGACCGTTGGTCATGATGCTGAATTCGACTACCTCGCCTACTACTGCCACTTCCAATAATTCGAACTCGATATTTGATGATAACAGGGGGCAAGGGGAGAAACAGCAGCAGGAGTTGACGATTATGAGGTCGATATTCAATCCACCACCTCCGGCACCTATGGAGGGGGCGGTGGGGGTTATGGCTGGTTTGGTCGGACACCATCCTCTTCAACAAGGTGGTCCTTACTACCCTTCCGATAGCAGCAGCAGCAGAGGTCCGGGTAGCTATAGCCAAACTCAAGCTTCTACTACTGCTAATGCTGCCGCTGCCGCAGCATCAAGAAGAAATAAACCCTCCTACGGGATGGTCTTCTCCCAGATGCTTGATCTCCATCTATTGTGCACCAAAGTGCCTAGGGGAAGGAGTCGTCATGGAAGTGGCTACGGAGGTGGTTATGGAGGGTATGTATGGGCAGTGGAGGTTTTGTTGGACGAGCTTGGGATTTATGAAGGGTTGGAGGAGACTTTGGATGAGGAAGGAGGTGGGAAGAGAAAGGGGCTGACGAGGAGGAGCAGAGAGCAGAGATGGGGGGCTGTGGAGATTGAGAAGGGGAGTGGGAGGGTTGTTGATACTTTTAAGTAAGAGAAGGGGGGGGGGTTTGTTGCGAAGAGGGTTGGAACTATCAAGGGGGGTGTTGAAAGGGTAGGTTCATGAAGAGGTGGTGGTTGAAAGGTTGATGATACTCGGGTGGTTATGGATCAAGGCAAGTTTAGATGTCGGTGAGTTTTATACATGGTGCGTTGGGTTAGATGTACATACAAACCCTTTCAACATTATTCCTGAAAAAAAGCGTTCACCTTACTTATACTTTGCCTCTTCATTATCGTTCAACTTCCATATTTTCCAAACAGCAGCTTATATCATACATGTACACGCTCCACTTATCATCCATCACCTATAAATCTCCATTGTGCGGGCGTTCAACCCCCTCTCCATGCAAATACGGCTCCAACCTAGCCACCAACTCCTCAACACTCATCTCCCCGACGTCCTCCTCTGTCATCTCACCATTTCCCCTGCGGGGCGGAATCAAAACGCTCGAAACAACATGAATGACCCCATCGGCCGCCGGCCCATCCAAAACACTCGGCCGATTAAATCCATTAACAACCATGGTCGTATACCCCCTCCAATTCTTGATATCGACACCCAGCCTCGCGTCCTCACTTAGGAGAGTAGGCAAGTCGTAGTGCGTCGGCGGGCAGCAGTTGTTGGAGGTATCACCATCTTGCTCCATACACTTGCCATCATCGCCAGAACCACCCTTGTAGTAAGCGTCCGAGTAGACGGTTTGGTCCGGAACAAAGTGATACTTAAGAATAGCCTTTAGATACTTCTTTCCGCGCTCGGTGTTGAAAAGGAAGGCATTGAGACGCGGACCGAGACGGGCGAAGGCGCGGTTGGTGGGGGCGAAGAGGGTACCTCCCTTGCCTTCCTTTTCGCCGCCTCCCATTATGATTAGAGGAACCTGTTGCTTCTTCTTCTTTTTCTTGTCATCTCTGTCCTTATCGTCATCGTCGTCGTCATCGTCGTCGTGACCCAACTCCTCACCAAGGCCAGTCTTCTCCAGTGCCAGAGAGAAAGTGCTAAATAGCGACGGCAAAAGCGAAACTCCCTTGAGAGCCGGGGGAGGAGGGACGAGGATCCCGTCGACGGCGTGGATTAGCCCGTTGGAGGCGTAGATGTTGGGCATGACGACGCGGTTGACAAAGTTGACGCGGACGCCGCCGTGGCCGAAGAAGAGGGGGGATGTGGACAGGCGCAGGCGTTGAGGACGGTGGTCGAGGAGGGGGGAGTGAAGTTCTGTGGGGAGGGTGTGGAGGGAGGGGAGGAGGTGGGGGAAGGATAAGATGTGGAAATTTTGTTCATCTTCTTGGGAGTAGGAGTCCTTGTCGTGGTCGTGGTCGTGGTCGTGGTCGTGGTGGTCGTGATCATGGTCGTGGTGGTCGTGATCATGGTCGTGGTGGTCGTGATCATGGTCGTGGTGGTCATGATCATGACGACGATGATCGTGAAAGATGGGTCGACGGTAGGGGAGGATGTGATGCTGGAGGACGTGGCGGACGACTTCCTCGGGAGGATGGTCGGGGTGATGGGGAAATCTTTCAAAGGCCTTGTCGGTAGGCACGAAGATGGTGTAGTTGTGCTTGTTGTTGCCGTCGGTGTTGTTGAGCAGCTTCTTAATGTCGTCGTGCTCGTCGACGATCTTGGCGAAACGCTCGCTGTATTTGGACTCTTTGATCAGTTCGTAGATGGACTTGCTGGTGTCTCCCGGGGGGTGGTGGGGGCCGTGATGGCCGTGGTGTCCGCCATGGTCACCGTCGTGGTCATGATCGTGGTCATGATCGTGGTCGTGATGCTTGTGATCCTTGTTGAGGGTATCCTCAAGTTCCTCGATGATGTGTTTCTCGATCAAAGAGGAGTAGATGGAGGGTGCGGAATCGTCCCAGGAGTCCTGAACTTTGGAGAGAACATTCTTTCCAAGATGGTCCTCGGCAATTGGTAGGAGTTGTTTCTCCTTGACACCCAGGAAAGGCACGTATAGTGCAGCGGCTCCAGCCGCAAAGAGAGGGAGGAGTGTCTGCTTCATGATCACCAAGTCCCTAGAATTTGAAGTTGGAGACTAAAGGTGATGATCTGAACGTCTAGTGAAGGGAGACATGAAGAGAAAGAGAACTTAAGAGCGAAGCTCTTCTCACATGAAGGACACCTGCTATTGTGACTTAGACGCACGTCGAATATTTGTAAGCATATGTTGGATGACGACAACGACTCAATGCATTGCTTCTTCTCCAACTGTTCCGACTGTCTGACTGTGCATTTGAACTGTCTACGGCTGTCATCCCATTGTCTCTCTCCAATGAGTGTATCAACCCGAGATCTGATGACAAGACGGCAGAAAGAGGGGTTAGAAGAAGTCTCATTGGTTCTCGGTCAAGATCTCGGGCCAGTCGGTGCTTTGTGTGAGCATGTTGGCGTCATCTTGTTAGATCTCTCTTGGGCACGGCTTTCATCCCATCGAAACAGTGTTTATAGGCTCATGAACCGTGCTTTCTTTAGTTGAGATATCATCAAAGTGAAGATGAAAACACGAGAGAAAAGAGATGAAGTCTGGCCTGCTGATGAAAGCCGCTTGACAACTGGACCAACAACAGAGCCTCCGGATCTGGTCCCGGGCAGTGCCGTCATGCATTGGTCATCCCCATCGCGGGAAGTCCGGGGAAGGTGGGATGTCCCCCGCAAAGAAGATGACGGCGCCGCGGCATCGCCACCGACATTAGCGGAGGCCCCATGTTGGCATCTTATCGAACGCTCTAATCTATTGGGCTGTGGTCTGTTCAACACCACGAAATTCCTTCAACTTTCTCCAACGAGAAGTCAAAGGGCATTGGTAGAAGAACGATTTCGGTTTATAGCAAAAAGGCAGAAGCTGTTTCACCTTGATTCCGTCCGAATTGTAACATGAGGGAGGTATCGGACCTCTCCGAGAAGCGAAGCCATCATCAACGCCCACAGGTGTGCCCGGCCACATTTTGCGGCCAGGAGGGCTGGGGCTCAGCCGCTTCCACGTCGGTCATTCCAGATGGTAATAATGAGCGTATGCAACCCAACAATTTACCCGTTGGATGAATGATATCGGAACCGAATGGATTGAAACCCGAAATCGAAATCCACCTTTCTCTTCGAAATCGGATATTGACGTCGCCCTTGTTGAACTTGGCAAGCCAGCATTGTTCAGAGGCATCTGGCATCTGCTGTTCGGCATGCTGTGCCATCCGCGTACAGCTCACTGTGGCATCGTGGCACCGCTCTCATTGGATCGGTTGAGCTGGCCACAGAAGTGCAGACCGCGAGGCGGTGGCGGGCTGTCGCTTTGTTACCACACCAAAAGCTCTTCCCTCACTCACTCACTCACTCATCACCTCAGTCTGACACCCCCTTAGAATCCTTAGGGCTGATGTGTTGATGGTTACCATTTTTCATCGTCCGTCAGCAACTTGGCGATAGAGACACCATCCCTCAACGTAGAGAGAGAGAGAGACATATCCAGCCCCTGAACTGAGATGAACTTGGACATTGGCGACCAGGAGTTCATGAACAGCATGGGTCCACTGGTACGACTGAACACCCCGTTTCCTCCGGCAGAAGAAGGAAACATGAGTTTGTGGGGTTCAGAGACAATCCCAGGGTCGGCCTGGTTGTGACTTATGAACGGAAGAGAGGAGATGGTGAATTGTGGAGGAGGAACTTTGGGAGACAAAAACAGAGGGAGCCGGGTGCCAACTGCCAAGGCCAGCCAGCCCAGCCATCCTCTTATGGTGTCTTCCTTGTGGTGACAGCTGTTGACGCCTGCTTTCTCGGGCCCTCTCACTTCTCCGCTCTCCAGCAATCACGAAAGTCCTAACACTGTTTCACCGAGTTGTAGCTATGAACTGTTAGTGTACTATCTAGTCCCCTTGTGTCTCGCCTACCCAGGCCGTTGAGAAGAGGAGCAAATGACCCTCCATGCTTCTCGAAGACTGGATCGCACCGGGGTCCAGCCTTCTTATCCCGCCCGGGTTCCTCGTCGTCCAAGATGGCGGTGGACAAATTGTTTCTTGCCCAGTGCCCGCCTCGACAGTTGTCGTTTCTCCCACCAGACCACCAAGAGGAGGAAAGAACTCAATCCAGAAGGAGTCTAGGCCTGATCATTCTCACCTGCTGAATGAGGCTGAACACCAAATAACAAACCGTCGCAATTTAATCGTAGGGCTCCAGCTTTAACCGATACCATAGTCTCTCTTCTTTTCCAGCTTTCCGTCCATTCTGTCATCTACCCGACACTATCTCATTAATCCGGTCGGTCAAGCATTGTCACAACCTGCAAAGACCACCACCACCAACCGCCACATCGCACCTCTTACCTTCAACCACACAGTTATTCAAAATCATCGATTCGACTTTACTCAGCCCACCAACAGATCATCAACTATCCAAGCTATTCCGTCATCAACTCTTGGGGAAAAAAAAAAAAGGAGAATCGCGCTTGGTGGTCCTGTCGGGTTGTCCGTGGAGCAGGAGCTAGCCCCAGAACTTCCCGTCCGCAGGTCCCTGAATTGCTTGGTTCAGGCACAGCCTCGCAAGGTGCAGTGCTGTGCTGTGGTGGATTTGCGACAAACCACCACCAGTTTCAACAACACATCCCGTTAACCTTGCAATTTGATCACGTCGACGACAACTCACTTACACTCGGGCGCCCTCACTTTTCGGACTGCGACCCATCGCATTGGATCCTGTCTTCTGGTTTACGAATTTGACGAGTCAGCCTTCCCAACAGCCCAAGTGTCATTGAGTACCATTTGACGGTTCTCAGGACAACGCCAACATGGCAGCGTCCCTGTCTGCGCGGGCCGTCCTCACCCCGCGCGGCAGCTCTCTCTCTGGAGGAGCCATCGCCGGGGCTGTGGTCGGCTCTTGCATTGGCTTTTTCCTGATTCTCCTATGTCTGTTTCCTTTTGTTGTCCGGGCAAGAAAACGCCGGACCGAAAAGAATGGTGATGATGCCGGCAATGCGGAAATGGGGCAGGGCCCCGGAGGCCCCATTTTCCACAACAGCCCCGGGGGCACACCCAAGCGGCTCTCCGGGGAAGGGGAAGGCTATGCTCCGGACACCCCGCCTGGCCTTGCATCATCGGCCACCTTCATCCCGGGTCAGTATCACCCCGGCGACGGCAACGACTCCGATCAGAAGGCGGCCTCCGATCATCAGTCACAACATACCCCGGCCCTCCCACGAGGCGTAGGTATACAACAGGGACTCCCGTCCGTCATATCGCCGCCCTTCCAACCACCATCACCAACCGCATCAGCCACAGTAAACCATCAAGGAGGGCAACCTGTTCCCGATTCGACAAGACCAAGGTTTGGATCTATAGCGACCACTGAAGCCGAGAGCAACCGCGACCTCAGCCTTGACGACTCCCACGGCTTAAGCCCACCCACTCACCAAGTACCTGCCGTTCCACCTGGAGGCATCACTGAAGAGCCGGAATCCTTTGAACGCCCTACTCAACGTTACTCCTTCCCTCATCTTCCCGAGTCCATCAGGAACTTTATCCACAGACGTCAGTCAGGTCATAGCCGGAGGGATAGCAGACGATCGACCCTTGGAGGTACCGCTGGAACACGGTCGCCTTCGCTCAACACTCCCAAAGACTACCAGGTTCCAACACATCAACCTGAACCTGTCCCCCCTGTCTTCGAGGTTGACACTGAGGCGCCCGGAGCTGCCTGGGAGTATTATCACGGTCATCCATATCTAGACAGTGCTGGCCAACCTTTCTCTGGCGACTCTTCTGCGCCTCCACCACCGCAGCCTACTACTCTGCCTACCGCTCAGCCCGTGTTCAGCCAAATAGATCCCCAAGACTTCACCCTCCTCCGTCAAGACACCCTCCTTGCCTCGTGGGAAATCCAGCAAGGCATCAACCGCACGGACAGTTTACCACCTACCACCATTGTCTCTGACATTCCAAGCTCTCGTGTGGATACGACTGTCGGGCCAACCGCCAGTCCTATGGAAATGATGAGGCCTACCAACCAAGCCGAGAGCGCCTGGGCTGTCAACCAGGAGATTATCAAGTTGGAGAACACCCCTCCTGCTCCTGCTATCAGCACTTTCTCCCCTCAAACTTTTCCGGGCGAGTTCGCCTATCCCCAGCAGATGCAAAGCCCCCAGGAACAGTACAGCCCGGAGCCTCAGTTTAGCGAGTATACGCATCTGCCAGAAATTCAGCAGAACGGGCAGGACTTTGATATTGACCAAATTGCCTTGTACCCCAACGACGGCTTCGGTCTCCAAGACATGTCTGACGTCTCTACTCCTCCGCCACTATCCGACTCCTCGATGCAGAACACGCCTAGCACGCGGCTCACATACTCGCCCTCGCCCAGGCCAGACTTTGACCAGAACACCAACTTTGTGCCACTCATGGTTCCCAACTCGCCAGCCAACTTCTCTACCGGGGGCTTCTCCTCAAACCAGGGCATGTCCCCCGGAGGATTGTCGGCTGTCGACTATTCCTCATCACAAGGAATGTCACCAGGAGGATTCAACGACTTTGGAAACCAAGTGATGGGTTACCCCCAAGGCCTATCCCCATCAACCATCCCTCAGTCCGGAATGTCCCCAGCAACACCAGCATCCAGCGGTGCATCACCCAGGGTGTTTGCATGCGACCAATGCCACCGTGAATTCGACCAAATCCACAAGCTAAAGTGAGTATCTCCCCTCCTTATCCTTCCTTACCTTGCCTACCTACACATATCACTAACACACCTGTAGCCACCACAAGCGTTACCACGAGCGACCACACGAGTGCACCCACCCCAACTGCACCATGCGGTTCGGCACCAAGACCCACCTGGACCGTCACATCAATGACAAGCACAAGAAGACTCGCCAGTTCCACTGCACGGTTCCGGAGTGCCCCTGGTCGAGACAGGGTGGCCGCTCATTCCCCAGGAAGGACAACTGGAGGAGGCACATGATCAACAAGCACCAAATCACGCCAGTTACCGAGCCAATCGAGTATAACGACGTGCCGATGAACGACGCTCAATGATACATGATCTATGGTGCTCTATTGGGAGGAAGCAGTGTACGATGAGGTTTTGCTTGGGTCGTGGCATGCTCTTGCTCTTGATGAGCGAGCTGGGTTTAATGCGCTTTTTGAACTGATACCAGATGAAAGACGCCAGGACAGCGTTTTGATTGGGACTTCAGGGGCCTTGATGGTCGTTTATGAACTTGTGGGAAAGAAGATCGGGGGATTGTGATACCCACCTTAGTCTGGCATTGTATGCCTTTCTTTTACCAGCATTTTTGGATGATGAACGGTTTAGATTTTTTTGTTTATTGTGGAAAGCGAGAAACGCCTTTTATAGTATATGATGCATCTGTATGGAGCGCGTGGCTTTAGCATTTTTTGTCTTTTCAATACATTACCAAAAGCCATTGAGATCATCTACGGTCCACATGACCATGGCCTTTTGTCCTCTCGCCTGAAGATCTCTGTGTCTTTTGAACTTCATTCTTCCTCGCTCGTGAATGCCTGATGGTGGGTGCAGCTCAGCGCTTCAACTGAACCCACGGCTCGTAGCCTGTGCATGTCTATGGCTCTTATGCGTTTCTCTCTCCCTCGGGGTATCAAACTTTTGCTGGAGGAGTATCTCTACACTCTAGTCGGCTTTCGCTTCTGGTTGGAAGAGACCTGAGTGAGTCAAGCCACACTCTCTCGCAAAGTCTTGGTTGACATCAGAGATTTCCTCCTCCTGCCTCCTTGCGAAGCTCCATCGCAGCGATGCTAGGCACTTAAACAACAGCCGCTGCTGGCTGGCTGGGCGGCCTTGCTGCCCTTCCTTGTCATCGTCGTAATCCTATCCCATCCCCCCAGATCCTCAACGCATCTCCCTAACCAGCTTCTTCACCAACTTCCTCTGCGCCTCCACCCCCAACCCCTTCTCATCCGTCTCTTTCAACGCCCTCCCCACCGCCACCGTCGTCTTCACACTCTCGCTCCCCACCCACACCTTCCCATTCCTCCCCACCGCCGTCTCAAACGCCAGTCCTTCCTCGCCCAGCGCCTCCAAAACCTCCACTTTCCCCTCCTCCCTACTCTTCGCCATCAACAACCGTCTGGCGAACCCAAGACTAACGTCAAACACCATCCCATCCTTTAGGGGACCAAGACCGTCCGCTTTGCCGGTGGACGAGTTGACGCATTCCAGTTCCGGGTCCATGTGGCGGTTGGCCAGAGACACGCGCGCGTAGACGAGTTCCCCCGAGGCAAACTGGGGACGGGTTTTCTTGGTCGCGGACTCGAAGGCTAGATGAGGTAAAGTCGCGTTGGGGGTGTAGGGCGAGAGGGAGACGTAGTAGAAGTCGGTGGCGGAACGGGCGATTTGACCGATTATGAGGTCGCCTTGGGAGGGGATGTACTTTTTTGGGGGGAAGTAAGAGTTAGTTAGAGGAAAGGGAAGAGAGGGAAAGGGAGTAAGGGAAAAAGAAGGGAAAATAAAAACGTACGCGACCGCCGTTATACTCTATCCACATGGATGTCTTGCGATGGTCGACTACTAGCTGACCGGCTACCGTGGGCACGATTTCGCTGGGAGGGATGTGTCGCAGGCCGGGACCGAGACGGAGGGGGTTCTTCTTGTGGGTGGGGATGAGGGAAGGGTCGATGGCCTCGCCCGGGAGGACGACGAGGGGGGATTCTGTTGACATTGTGTAATATGATTCTGTTGTTGTGTGTGGTCGGGTTGTGAAGTTGTTGTTTGGTTTGGGTTTTGGTTTGGAATTCGAGGTTCGTTCGTTTTGCGGAAAGCTTCCAGGTTGTATGTGAAAAAGGTACGGTACCTTGTCGCGGTTCAGTTCTGCATGTAAGTTTACCTGCCGGGGAAAGTAGCGACGGCGGCGAGGCCAGCACCAAGCCTTGAATGGTGGGGCAGCTGGGTGGGCTAGCTTGGGGAGTACGATGGAGGTACTTGGGGAGCTGTCTTGCCAGTCGACCTCGAACTTTGATTCTACAAATTGGAATAGCTTGACCGGAAATTGCAGTATTTCTCTGAAATATCGACTTCAAAATAACTCTTACTTGTAACAGCTTTGTCTCAATGCTGTCGTCGACGGCACATGTAAACAAACAGCGAGTACACCAATGGTGCCCACCACAAGTGACGATGTGGGGCCAACAAGCATCCCGTATCGATTAGCGTCCGCCTTCCAAAAATTTCTGAACCCCCACACGCTGGACGACATTACCGTCGCTTGTCTGGTTCCTGCCTTGTCGATAGCAGTATTTTGTTACTTTGCGCTCCATTCTCTTCCCTTCTTTCCTCCATCCTCCTAGCTGTTTGATACCGTCCCTTTCTTCCGCTTCAACCCACATCCTCACTCACACACCTCCGCAAACATGAGCGAATCCAAGGTCAGCGTTGCGCCCAGCGAGCGCACCGTCATCGGTATCACCTTTGGCAACTCCAACAGCTCCATCGCCTGCACTGTCGACGATAAGGCTGAGGTTATCGCCAACGAGGATGGCGGTACGTTGCGACACCTAGATACCTGATCACTTTTGTGACCTACTGTGACTAACATATCCTCCTCCCGCGTACAGACCGCCAGATCCCCACCATCCTGTCCTACGCCGACGGCGACGAGTACTACGGCCAGCAGGCCAAGGCCTTCCTCATCAGGAACCCCAAGAACACCGTCGCCTACTTCAAGGACTTCCTCGGCAAGGACTTCGCCGCCGTCGACCCTACCCACAACCACGCCTCTGCCCACCCCGAGGATGTCGAGGGCACCGTCTCCTTCACTGTCCAGGAGAAGGAGGAGGGTGAGGCTTCCAAGCTCTCCGTCTCCGAGGTCACCACCCGCTACCTTCGCCGCCTGATCGAGGCTGCCTCCGAGTACCTTGGCAAGAAGGTCACCTCCGCCGTCATGACCGTCCCCACCAACTTCGGCGACAAGCAGAAGGTCGCCCTCCTCGCTGCCGCCGCCGCCGCCAACCTCGAGGTTCTCCAGCTCATCAACGAGCCCGTTGCCGCTGCTCTCGCCTACGATGCCCGCGCCGAGGCCGAGGTCCAGGACAAGATCGTTGTCGTCGCCGACCTTGGTGGCACCCGCTCCGATGTTACCGTTGTCGCCAGCCGCAGCGGCATGTACACCATCCTCGCCACCGTCCACGACTACGATTTCCACGGCGCTGCCCTCGACAAGGTCCTCATTGACCACTTTGCCAAGGAGTTCATGAAGAAGCACCAGGTCGACCCCCGCGAGAACGCCCGCTCCCTCGCCAAGCTCAAGGCCGAGGCCGAGGGCACCAAGAAGGCCCTCAGCTTGAGTGCCAACGCCAGCTTCAGCATCGAGTCCCTCGCCAACGGCATCGACTTCACCAGCTCCATCAACCGCCTCCGCTACGAGACCATTGCCCGCTCCACCTTCGAGGGCTTCACCCGCCTTGTCGACTCCGCCGTCAAGAAGGCCGGTCTCGATGCTCTCGACATCGACGAGGTCATCCTTTCCGGCGGTACCTCCCACACTCCCCGCATCGCCGTCAACCTCGGCTATCTCTTCCCCCAGACCACCAAGATCCTCGCTCCCTCCACCACCCCCGCCGCCATCAACCCCTCCGAGCTCAACGCCCGCGGTGCCGCTCTCCAGGCCAGCTTGATCCAGGAGTACGAGGCCGAGGACATCGACCAGTCCACCCACGCTGCCGTCACCACCGTCCCCCACGTCAACAACGCCATCGGTGTCATCTCCCTCAACGAAGCCGGTGAGGAGGTCTTCGTCCCCGTCGTCGCCCCCGAGACCGCCGTCCCCGCCAGGAGGACAGTCCACGTTGCCGCCCCCAAGGACGGCGGCGATGTTCTCGTCAAGATTGTCGAGGGCAACACCCACATCAAGGTCACCAAGCCCGAGCCCAAGGTCAAGGACGAGTCCAAGAGCGCCAAGGTCGAGGATGCTGATGAGGATGGCGAGGACTCCGACTTCTCCGATGATGAGGACGAGGAGGAGGAGGAGAAGCGCGAGAAGGTATGGAAGATCGGCTCCACCCTCGCCGAGGCCGCCATCCGCGGTGTCAAGAAGGGCGGCAAGGTCGAGGTCACCATCCTCGTTGATGCTAACCTTTCCGTCACCGTAACGACGAGGGAGGTTGGCGCCAAGACTGGTGTCCGTGGTACTTTGAGCGCTTAAGTTATAATGCCGAGCGAGATTGGTTGATTTAGTTGTTATTTATACCTGTGTATGGAACGTACCTTCTTACTTAGCATTTGTGGGAAACACACAGCAGGATTTTTTTTGGTTGCAAAAAAGGACCCCACTACTAGACTACTGGTATTTACTGGGCAACTTTAAAATAGAGGCGAAATGATGAATTTGATGACCCTATTAGACATACATACAGGACAAGACAGGAGCAGAGCGAGCCAGAGAATCTCAAACCTTGAAGATATGAGATATGCGTGTCTTGTGAATGGAAGTGACTTGGAAAACTAATGCCGACGTTATTTAGACCTACCCCCCATACCCATCTTGTAGGGAGTTCAAGATGTTGCTCTAGCTCGATATCATCGTACGTGTAATTCAGTTCAAAGGTATACATGTGATAGTAAACGATCATGAATTGATTTCAATGTCTATTCCCCGTTACAGCTAGGTAAAATGCTAAGAAAACCTTGCAATGGGTATATCCTCCAACTAATTGTTCGCACTTTCTCTCTCTTTTCCACCTAGGTTAACCGAACGCTCTTCAATGGCTTTCTCCTCGGGCCCGAACCGCTCCCCCCCCCCCCCCCATGATCCGTCCGTCCGTCCGTCTTTGCCCACTTTTCAACTTAACTCGTAGCCATACCCCCCAGGCGGGATCCCAGAAACCCCCTTCGAGTCCCCCAAGATACAGACAAAGAAAGAAAGAAGATATCGATCGGAGGAGGAAGCTCCGGTAAGAAGGGTGGAAAGGTAGAGAGAGGTATAAAAGTAAGGGAATCGTTAACTTCGTAACAAGGTAACAAGTAAAAAGCCAATTCTGTGAGGACGTATGGGAACAAAGTTGTTTGGTAAAAGGACAAGGAAAATGATATGTGCTGTGGACGACGCCTGACGCTCCGTGATGTTATGCAAAATACTGAATGCTGAATGCTACCGAGATGATGATATGATAGAGAAAGAGACATATGAAAAGCTGAAGACTGATGCTGATGATTTGTTGTTGTAGAACTGTTGGTAATGGTAATGATGATGGTCGTTATGTAAGTCGATGTGATAAATGATGTAACTTGTTGAACGTAGGGTATCAGATGATGTTTACTTTTGAATGTGGCAAGGAAGTAAAGTAATCAGCGTCAACGGACAGTACACGGCGAAACCGGTGACTCTTCCCTGGGAGCCACCGTGTGCATCTGCGTTCGCGACCTATATCGGGGCAACTCGGCGTCAAACCGCGATTGTGTCGGGGTAACCATCGGCGTCACCGTCTTGGGTGTTATCGGTAGTTCGATCTCGGTGGTCTTGATATTGTTGGTTAGTGGCCAGTCGGCGGGTCTCTCCTCCTCCTGCTTCGTCGCTTCAGATTCAGCTTCGGTTTGTTCGAGTTCGAATTCGATGATCTGTTGTTGGTCCTCCTCCTCCTCCTCCTCCTCCTCTGCCTGAGCAGTGGCGACTGTTGTCTCCTCTTCTTCGGTTTCATTTTCTGTCTCTGTCTCTACCTCTGCGCCCTCGCTTTCGACCACAACAGGCCATTGTGGTAGAGGCAGTGTTGCATACCGCATCCCGCTCTTCTTCTCCTGCTCGACCCTGAGAATCTCGCTGCTAACCAGCCACCTCTTCTGGAGCTTAGCCTTCCTCTCAGCAAAAGTGTGAGAAATCGCATCTGCCTCGTTGGCGAACTCGACAGCGAGGTCCTCGATTTCCTCCGATTTCTTATGCAGCAGCGCCTCCATCTCGTCCTCATGTCGGTCAAGAAGCTGCTCCATCTTCTTCCCCTGCTTCTCGCGCAGCACGTTGATCTGCGCCTGATGTCGCCTCTCCATGCCGTCGCGGATGCGGTACTGTTCGCTGAGCTGGTCGAGGTGTTTCTGCGTGACTTCTCTGGAAGGCATCTTTGCGTCCTCTTTCTCGTTTATGTGGTCCTGCTCCTCCTCGACGACCTGATGCGAAAGCTTCTTGCAGTACGCCTCCATGTACTTGAGCTGGATCCTGATGCTCCGTTCGGACGCGTCTAGCGTCGAGCGCAGTTCGATCTCGGCTTCGATCTGTCGGTCCTCGAGGTGCTGCTCCGTTTTCGCGTGGCGCTCTTTCATCTTGTCTATCAGCTCCGCGTACTTTTCCAAAAGCGCCTGCTTCTTCTCCGACTGTCGTGTCCGCATCTCTTTGCGCATCCTGGCTTCGTACGCCAAAAACCGCGACATTTCGTCGTCTTGCTGTTTCCTTAGCGCCTGAAAATCGGCGCTTTCCCTCGTCCTCCGCTCCGCTGCTTGTTGGGCTCGCTGTTCCGCCGCATCCGCCTCCTCCTGCTCCCTCTTTTTGAGTTCAAGCTCCGCCAGACGCGCCTCCTCCTCTATCCTGCGCCGCTCGAGCTCCTCCTCGCCGTTGCAGAAGTTGGGACACCCGACCACGGGGTCCCAGACCGCACCGCAGATGTAGCAGAACTGCGCCTTGCACCGACACGTCATGTGCGTGCACCCCTGCGTCAGCTCAACCAGGTTGCGACACTTGTAGCATCTCCGCCACCCGGACTTCTCGCCCATCTTGAGCACCGTCTCCAGCTCGATGTCCTCGGGACAGTCCTGCCCTAGCCGGTGCGCGCTGCGCTTGCAAGTGAGGCAGACGCGCATCTTGCACGTCTTGCACATGGTTTCGAACGGGTGCTTTGGGTCAAGCTTGGCTCGCGGCGGAATGAATTCCCCACAGGCTGGGTTCGGGCAGAAGATGCGCGATTCCCAGGGCGTGCTGTACTGCAGGACGGCCTTGAGGAAGGCTTGCTGCTCCTCGCGCGTGAGGATCGTCTTGATGATGGAGCTGGGGATGGGCTGGGTGCAGCACCGGGGAGGCATCTTGGACTCGTCGGTGGTGGATTGGTTGATCATGACTGCTAGACAGCTTTGGCAGTAGGTGTGGCCGCATGGTAGCGTTTGGAGGAGGTGGTTCTCTTGGACAAAGTCCTCACGACAACATATACATGTGCTATAATGTGGAGGACGTGGGTTAGATATCTTGTCCGAGGTGTTGATGCCTAGAATATCCGGGTGGGGCGAGATCACTTACACGACTGATAGCGCCGGGTGCGTCTTCCTCCTCTTCAACCTGCCCGTGAGACCGCGCCTGAGCTCCCTGACGCCCTTGAAATGCCCGAAGCCAAATATACTGTGCGATGGCCGCCTTGTGGGCGCTGCCGGGTTGGAGAACTTTGGCTGGTGGAGGGCGGGTTCCAGCTGGGTCAAGTACTTCTCATAGTGAGAAAAGTTGACAGTGTTGGACCTCTTCCTGCTCGTAGATTGTGTGAGAGTTGCCGGCATTGCCGCCGACGAGTTCGAGGCCATATCATTATCGGTGCCCGTGGCCGTGGCCGTTTCCGTGCCTATTGTGCTGTCCACCGAGCATGTCGTGTTGGAACGCTGATGAGCCCTAACGAGGGTGCTGCTTCGTGCTGATGTGGCGTTCAAGGTCTTGTCGGTGAGGTTCGAGACATCGATTCCCAGACTTGAAGCCTTTGCTGTTAAGCTCTGCTCGATCTCGGCCTCGGTAGCGGTGGCATCTTCGGTTGTTATCCCAAAAACCTCACGGAGGTACTCGGACCCGTCTAGTTCGGGTGGTGAGTTGGCGATGGCGCCGACCAGATCGGCTGGCGATAACGATAACGAGGTGAACCGAGCCATTCCGTCACAAGGTCACTTTAACTATTTTCCGTCCCTTCCGTCCCTGGATATCCGGGGTACCTAACAGCGAATGGTACCAAGACAGTCGAAAGGCATGTGGCGGCGGCGGCAGAAGAATGATGATGAAGACTGAAGTGGTAGGTAGGTATATGTATGTATGTACTTGTTCGGGGAATTCAACAATGGGTATCGGATGAGATATGTATTAAAGATGCGATCCGATCTATCAGATGAGGGATTCCCATGACGCAAAACTATGGGCGAGGGTGGGGTTCGTCCATCCGGAAAGTTTACACTAGGTTGTAGTGAACCAGATGTTGGATGTGTCGATCCAAAGGGCCGGATGTCCAGGGTTTTCTCCGGTTGCGCGCCGTCGTTAAGTAGGCTGACCTGATTACGCCAAGTCAACAGCGCTATCACTCCACTACCAATATGTGAGGTGTTCACTACTGTAAAAACAAGGGCTGGGAATGGTTGCCGAAAGATGGAGCCCGGAGTGGGTGACGGGATGTGTCAGTGAAGTGAGGTGAGGTGAGGTGAGGTGGTGAGATCTCAGCTAGCTTGTTGGGTTGGTGTCAAGAGATCAGACACTGCCGTGAGGAGTAAGCTCACCCAAAAAGTGATGAATGGTGGAGTGGTTCAGGGGACAGAGGGAGATGATGGAGGAGGGAGAGACTTGTGTGTGTTTGGTCGGCGGCAACGGAGGGCCAGAGACAGCAAAAGAGAGACAACAAGAGATTTGAGAGGAGGGATCACACGAAAAAAGTCGCAAAAGAGATCGCCAGCTAAAGCAAGTGATGTGCAGTAGACCTGGCGAGGGTTGCAGTTTTGCGCCCAAATATATCTATACATAGTGTACTTACTGTACATTACCGTACACATCAAGGCCCGGCTTGCGTTCCGCACAATGTCTGTTAGCGCATCAAGGTCACTATCACTGTGCTAAGGGCTGTCTGTGAAAGAACTAAGTGTCTCTATCGCCAGTTGTTTTTGTTTTGATTCGAACCTGGATGAAAAGAAACACGAGGTCCCTGACCTGGGTAGTCCCTTGTTTGCTTGTGTTGGTTAAAGACAACACCTTTATACATTAACAGAAGGGATGTTTCACTTCGATGTTGTTGATGTTGGGGAACAACACGCTCGGGGCAGTGAACGCCGCTGGGGGTCACGGCGAGCGGGTGCTGGCCAAAAAAAGGACAAGGGTGTGTGATGCGCCTGTGTGAATCCCGAGGGCTGCCGGGTGGACTGCCCGGTGGGTGACTGGCAACTGGGTGGGGGCCCTGGGGTCCGGTTAGTACGAATTAGGCAACTAACAAAATCCAACCGGAATGCCTGAAAACAACATTGGATGGCACAACCAAACATCACGAAGGGGGCAGGGACGGGAACTTTGCAGGGACGGAACCTAACGAAGGATTGAAGTCTGCCTCTCCACGTTCGTATGCCAACCAACCGCTAAAAGAGCCTCAGCCTGTGGTGGCTTGCAAGTGGCCCAACGACAGGAGTCTTCTGACAAAAAGAAGAAACAAAATCGGGACTGAACAGAACGTCCATTGGTCCCTGATGTTGGAAGAAGTGGCCCGTTACGGTGCGTTAGACTTAAGCTTGCTGATTGATTGACCGGTTCCGAAAACAAAAACTTGATCAGCTGTTGCCCGCTCCTTGGAAGTGAAGAGGCATTGAGCCAGTCAATTGGAAAACAAGGGCTTTGAAGACTGGACTGGCTTTCCAAACAAGATAAGACAAGATGGCATCTTCAATCTCAAACTCTTCATGCAAAGTGTGAAGGTGGATGTTGAGGAGGAGGCTTTTCTTGGCTTGCCTACCCGCTTTCCCTGCCAAGGTCGGTCGCCATTGCAGTATCATCATCATCACCATCACTAGGTACCATTGTGATCGTGACCGTTGCCAATGTCTTGCCTTGTCTCCATTTTCCCTTCTCCATTCTCCGTAGCTCCAGGTACCACAGCGCTATCTACACTATCTCTTTCCGCACGCAGTCCGCACATCTCTCGGCCTTCAATCTTGCCGGGGTCGTTGGCGCCGTGACGGCCGGGGGTGGATATGGGGTCATGATAGTGCAGGTCCACCAAGTTCACTAACGAGTACCGCAGCCTGCAATTGAGATCGATATTTGAAGATCATCATCCTCCATCAACAGATCCCGTTGCACCATCGTTGACGGCTTGACGTCTGTCATCTTAAACATCCACCGCTCAGAGTTATCAAGGCCCTCACTCTCCATCACACGACAGCAAGAGCAGCGTGCACGACAGACGATGGTGTGGTTTCGACCTTCGACCGCGACTCGAATAGCGGCTTATCCCACTTTGGTGACACTGGTGTAGGTGGGCGTCCATGAAGGTAGGGTAAAACATAACCCCGAGTCTTTTTCGCATCTTCAACTTTACACTAGTCTAGGAGGTGAATATGAACCGTCGTTTTACAATTGCGATATCATCGCCGACCTCACTCAAACATCAACCGAAGACCTGAGCCCGGATCAGGAACCCGCTTGCACTAGTAACACGAAGTTAGCAACTCTCAACAAGCCCCCAAGCCCCCAAACCTCACCGTGTACCTCACCGTCGGGTTCTTCCACTTCACTTCTCCCTTGCTTGCTTCTATGTGCGTGTGTATAGCCTCAGAGTCAGAAGTGTACTGTACCAGCTGTAGCAGCCCGTTCGTATCGTCGTATCGTTAACTACCAACAACCCACCCAGCAAATGATTACTGACTCTGAGCCCCTTTTACCAACGAATTGGTAATACCACACAACTGGGAATTGTCTATTATTTTCCACCAACAAACACCCAAAACACAATCATCGATAAGGACATCCAGGCTTGATTTCTTGTTGTCGAAGATCGTCAACGCCAAACCAGTTAGCCAAACGAGCGGCTGCATCCGCCTTTCCGTCTTTCCGTCCTCCCTCATCGGTCGCCCGCCTTTCGGCTTTGCTTTTTACTGGGCTGATATCAACAATTTTGTCTCTGGTCTATCAGTGATATGGTCTGACTGTTGGGCACTAAAACCATGCCAGCGATACCTATCTCCAGAGACATCCACTGTAAACGCCGAAGGGCTGCAGCGGAATGATTGAATGGCCCTTGATGTTGTTGTCCACTGTCCAAACACTGCTTGAAAATCTTGGTTCCACCGAGCGAATGACGATCTTCCCGCTTTCCGCACCTCTTGGACAAGTTTGACAAGGCCTAAAGAAAAGCTAAGAGACTTTTTGAAATTGCCCTCGAATATCTCGGCATACAATGCATACAGATTTTGCATCGTGACATCTCGACCCGGTATTTGCTGATAGGTAGCTCAGGTAGGTACGTAGGTAGGATCCCGATAGGTCGCCGAACGTTCGGCAATCTTGAAGAATATAGGGATGTGCAAAGAACTAAAGACTAAGACTAACGAGTCACGACTTTTGTTGTGAATGAAGAACTGCGGGATTGACTTAGCGCTGCCGCGGTTATTCGTATGGTCTCAGCTACCTATCTTGTGTGACTTTCAGGTTCAATAACTTTTTTTCACCATCTAACTTCCATTCTGTACGAGAAAAAGTTCTCGGTTATGTATGATTTTCTTCAGAGGGTGGTGACCTTTGTGCTGTGCTGCTTGATGAAGGCGCAAGCTGTACGGACGGCCTCAAGCAGCCTAGCGTTCATCACCTCCATGCTTCCCAAGTCCCAACTCTATGGCATCGGAAGCTTCCGACGACATGGACTTGGGTTAGGCCTACATAGGCCTAGGCCCGCGTATGTATGTAGGTATATACCGTAAGTGTGTAATGTACCGCTCGGTAGATATAGGTAGATACCACTGTGAGAAAGCTCGTGGTCGACCCAACTTCTTTGGCCTAATTCCCCGAAAGCTTCGGTATCTGAACAGCCGAGACAGGGTTGCAAAATGGAAGCAGACTGTAGGGTATTCCAAATCTTTATCACTTTTTCAGTCTTCTTCCTTTTTCTGAGTAGTCTGCGACTGAGACATCATCTCGGTGAATTTCTACACGGCTTGCAGCCCGCCAAGTATCGATATCGACAACCGCGTTCATTAACAGGTATCTCATAATTTATGTAGTAGTCAGATCAGATCGACCGATCTCCTCATATCATATACGTAGTAGTATCATCTCATCTTCATCTTCGCCTTATTTCATCATCTCACTTTGTCTTTCACTCTTCACCCGTCTTCTTCACACCAGCTCCCACCTAGCCAGCCATCCCACGCTCTCTCCGGCATTTCTCACAATGCAAAGCCTTCCCTCCTTAGTCCCAAACTCCTTAAGGGTATCAAACGCCTTCTCGGCGGAGATGGCACCAACCGCCGTACCCTTGCCCTCGCTAAGGCTGTACGCCCCTGCCGTCACGAACCCGATCAGGTCCTCCTCGCCAGGGCACAGCGGATGGGCGCCGCCACCCATGGTGTCTGTCTGATTAGCTGCCGAGGAGGGCCTGGGGTAGGGCAACGGGTCCCCGGATAGGAGAGACTTGGCCATTAATTGTTTTCGGGTACCCTGATCGACGCCGCGAGGCATTTGTGGTGCTGCGTGTGCTGTGGTGGTGGATTTGGAAGACCTGCTGCTGCTTCTGCTTTTCTGCTGGCTGCTGGGGAGTTTCTGAAGCCATTGGTCACGAAGATCCGCTGGTAGAGAGCCTACGCCGGCTGCAACCGGATCGGTAGCGGGTACTTCCGCCTCTGACGACGGGACGGTCGTGGCTGGTGAAGGCTGTGATGGAAGACGATATATCCTGGCGCATACGTTGGCAACGCCTCTGGTCACGAATGTGATGTTGACTGATATGATCGACCGTGGGGGAGGTCTGCTGCCCGAATCCGCTGAGACACGGGCATTGAACTCCGTCTTCTTCATCTGCCCAACTGTAGCCAAAGACGGCAGAATATCTTTGTGGGGCTTCCCCGATTTGGACGCGGCTTCAGCCTCTTCCCGAGGATCTACGTCCATTGCATTTGGATCGACATCCAGGGTGGACTGGTCCCCAGAGGAGGAGCTCGGCGAAGGCTCCCTGGGCAAACCGAACAGATGCTCAAAATCGCACGCTAGGCCATCCCCAATCTCGCCCTTTCGTCCAGCGCCGAGATCCAGCGAGGCCCATTCGATGCGCTTACCCTTTGGACGCCGATCCCATGCCTTCTTGCGCTGCGCGCGCTGCTCCGTCTCCCAGACAACACCCGCGTTCGTCCCCAGGAAGTCCCCGGGAAACCAGGCGGTCCCTTGTTCAAAGGCAATCTGCCGCTGCTCGTTCAAACCTCCCAGCCGAGGGTTTCCTCCAGTCGACAGGGGATAATGGACGATGCTGTACCATATCGGTAAAATACATTTCCATGGTGCCAACAGTGTCCACGTTCCCTGCGCCTGACCACCAGCTGCCGGCCTCGAGGCCAACACGATGACCGGTATAGGAGGGTCCACTGCCGTGGCTTGAATTTCTTGCCCTGGGATGTTAGCGCCCTTTCGGCGATTGATAGACTTTTGTGGTGGTAGACTGGAAGCCTTGAAGCGGACATCGCGGTCGAAGAGACCATATGGCTTCACTTGTTCCTCGACAGGCCATTGTGTCAGAGTATCAAGAAGAGCAAGGTCGGAAACCTTGCTGGCGGTGTCCACGCGCTTGGGAGGATACGACAGTCGTGGGTCCTTGACTGAGAAGGCCAGTACTGCATCTTTAGGAAGAGAAGCGGGATTCGTTACTCCGACCAAAGAGGAGAAAACCTGTCCGTGACGCTCCTCGGTATAATATGGCTGGAGTACAGCGAGCAACGTCTCTGTGGAGCCGGGTCCGGTAAGTTCGATGCTACCGATTTCGAAACGCAAGTCCTCGACGTGAACTTGAGGCGTCTGTAGCTTCGCAACCCTAATCAGCTCGTCGAAGAGTTCGAGGAAACATGAGGGGTGTGTCCTGATCAAGACTTGTCGTTGTGTCTTCTTCTGCTCGGTAGTGTCTGACTCTGGCGCAGCGGCCTCGTTTGTCGAGTTAGGGTTCCACAGAATTGTAGCAGGCCCGACATCCCTTCTTGAGCTCCCTTGCTGTCTGCTCACAATACCGCTCCATGTTCTCGTACCAACTCTCCATTTCCTGCCACGATTGCCCCATAGACTCTCCTGGACCAGTCCAAGTGCCTTGAGAACCTGCTCAATGCCTCCAGCTGTTCCATACAGCCTGACTGTGCTCATGTAACTCGTATCCCAGAACATAGTTCCCTTTTGCCCAGAAGCTCGGTGGGTCGGTCGATAGCACTTTTGCGTCGGTGTCAAGGGGATGGAAAATCGCCATTGAGGCTTGGTCGGCTCGGTCATTGTCGCTCGTTTGGCATGCCATAGATGGGTAGGAAGCCAGGTCTTGTTGATCTGTCTCTTTTTGAACTTGGACTTTGGCTTCGGAGGCTCGTTCAGGGTATCACGCCGTATCTTGGGTCTCGGGGCTCTCGTCTGGATTGTAGTCTTTCCGGGCTCGTCCTTGTTCTCTCCTCCGGCTTCCTTTTCCAACGCTCTCTTCCTTTTCTTCGCGGCAAGCTTCTCCAGTCGCCTTGCGTTTTCGGCCCGTATCCTGGCGCGTGTTGTACGTGGTCGTCGTTTCCTCGCTTCGACGGTTGGTGTGTTGTCCTCGAGCATCTCTCGTTTCGCTCTGTCGCGCAGCCTCTTGGGGACTCTCTTGGCGTTGTGGCTCGCGGTTCGCCGTCTCATCTCGCGCGGGACCTGCTGGAAAACTCTGGTGGCATTGGCGCTCTTGCATTTTCGCATGCTCGTCTCGAGGGCGTTGATCTCGAATTCGCGGGCATTGAGGAACTTTTGGAGGTCGAGCTTTCCGTCGTCGAGTGCGGCGTCGGGGGGCTGGCTGCGAATGTTGCGGGCATCTTGGAACTTGACGCGCTTCTGTGGCCGGGCTGGTGGACGCGATTCTTTGCCTTGTTGATCCTGATTTTTGAAGCCCGTCGCTGCTGATGGTGCTCCCTTGCGCTTCTTGGAATCGGCCGCCGTGTTGCCAGAGGCAGCTTGTTTCTTAGTATTATCCATGGCGACTATGGTTTGGCGGGCATTGGCGTGTATGTGTATCCGGCGGATGGAGGTGGCCTTGTGGTGTTTGTACTTGTCGGAATTGGAATTGGAGTCTTGCTCAGTGACTGAATTTCTGAAGCTCTTATCGGGCTTATCAGTTGATCGGCTAGTGGGTCCCGTCCCAGCGGAGAGGAGATGTCCCCACTTGGGGTAATATCCAAATTCAGGTCCCGTCCCTTGACGATTCCACGGCATCCTTGACAGCGGTCTTGGCGGTTCCTTCAGTGGCTTGTGTTGTCTGTAACACGGAATTTCGCCCCCAATCCTCACGGCCCAGAAGCTCGGCATTCCCCAGTCTTGAACGTAGGTTGTTTCAACATCACCTATCCCCTCTTGATGATAGTTCTTGCGGAAAAAGGTCGTGGTGAGTGGATTTGGTGTTTTTCTAGATTCCTGGGTGACGGAGTAAGGCAGCCAGGCGAATGGATGCCATCATCCTCATCGCCCTCCCCTCGTTGGACATTAGTTCATTTTATTTAAGGGGTTGCCCGGACATCCATTCATATCCGTGGTGCCGCGTATAACAAACCCTATGTGCCCAGGAAGAACCGTTGGGCTAAGAAAGAGATTTTCCAGATTTGTCATGGAAGCATTACTAACTGGCTATCCAAAGTTCTCATCATCACCCATACACACATCATAGAAAGAAGTCTTTGCTGTCCCTCTTGTTTGTTTATCCCATGTTTTGGTTACTAAGGGGGTAATACGGAATACCTTACGTTACCACTGTGTTCGTCCGCGATACATGCCAAGAGGAAACCAACCCTGACACGCCTCTCAGCGGCACAGCTCCAGCTTTCCATCACTGAGAATTTTCCAGTGTTTCGTTGGCTCCGAATCCCGTTGCCGTTGTTGCGTTGGGATCTCGATATCACCAAACGGCTTAATCCGGGAACGGGAAAGCTCACGTTGCGTACGGCAGGGAACACTCCCCCTTGTGTCGGCCTCAACCACGGGAACCTGGATCGGTCCGTTACAGTTACAGTCCTGAGACCACGTACCCGTTCCGTACCTTACTATAGAGACGAACGACCCCAAGCAAGTACCTGCTGAATCCGTCGCATGTAACCATGGCAGCCCTCAGTAAGCATGACTAGCCTTTCCTCCCTCTTGGTCCCTTCCTTTTATCAGATTCGCACTTATCATATTATCCCTTCCACTTCATTCCATCCCATCCACCCTTCCCAGTTCCTTCCCCCTCGTCCCAATCCGGACACTCTCACTCACTATCTCCAACCCATCACTCCTTCACCCCAAAAGCCTGACTATGAACGCCCGTCCTGCCTTGCATGACGTTGCTGCATCTTGTCTACCGGCACTTTCGGCATTATGGAATGCATCTTTCCTCCAACACTCTGAACCTGCCTTGACATCATCTGTTGGTCGTGGTCCTTTAAGCTGATATGGTTCACATTCCTTTAGTCGGCAAGGGTAAAAAGGTTCGTATTCATCTGTCCCCTCTTGCTACCTACAGGAACACAGTACTAATACCTTTGTTCTAGCCCAAGTTCGAACTTCACCTCAAGGCATGTCGTCCTCACCGTGAACCTCACTTCAGGTCGTCGTCCTCGTCATCGTCTAACTCAAGCCCTAGGTCTATGACTTGAACAATGTACCACTTGTCTCGGGAGGTTCCCTGATAAAATGGCACTTCCCACACAGCATTCACTCAGAGCACCGCGGCAAGACGCAGAAATGCCCTATTGCTAACCACCGAGTTGAGTACAACTACTCAAAGATCATCCCGATCCGCATCGCTGTCGACCGCAACAACAATCTCACCGAGTGTCCGGTCGAGTTTGAGGTTCTGCAGCTGTTCAACACCAATGGCACAGTGAACGGAAACGGTCCAGCGCCCGTCCGGGAAGAGAAGACTACTCTAGGTGTCGTCCGCCTCAACCTGACCGAGTATGTCGAGGAGAGCGAATCCATCCTCCGGGATGGTCTCGGGACCGGAATCAGCCCTTTCCTCGGATCTCCGGGTGGTCCAGCAGCGACCGACTTCCGGCTCGGACACAGCCGTAACCGCAGCTCACTAAGCGCGGTTACACTAGCACCGGCGGATTGCAACAGCCCCAAGTATCTACGGCCCGATGCGGAGGAAAAGGAGCAGGAACGTCCCATGACGGCTATGACCACCAAGACCTTCGTCACGACAGCCACAATGACCCCGGCAGAGGACGTCCAAGATGGCGTGGTGCGCCGCTACCTGATGCAAGAAAGCAAGATCAATTCGACCCTCAAGATCAGCATCCTCATGATCCAAGTCGAAGGGGAGCGTAACTTCATCGCCCCGCCGCTCAAGACCGCTCCCGTTTTCGGCGGCATCGCCGGCCTCGTGGCGGGCGACGTGCTGGATCCCAACGCCGACGCCCACGCCGCGGCCCGCAACCACCACCAAGCCGCAGCCGACCTGGCGCTGGGCCAGTTACCCAGTCTCAGCCACAAGTCGCGGGACATGTTCGAGTTGCAGGACTGCTACCGTCGGGTGCTGGCTGCCAGCTGGGAGTCTCAGCCGGGCGAGTTGACAGCCGATCAATGCATCGAGGACATCTTCTCCGGAGGCGACGGGTTCCGAACGGACATGTCTTCGGCAGCGAACACCCCTTCGCCCATCTCGCGCGGTCGCGGGGGTTACAGCAACAACGCCAGCACATTCGGAGATGATGGATTACGTTTGGGACATAGGAAGAAGCGCAGTTTCGGAGGACGACACGAACACGGACACTTCCGCGCCTCCTCGGGCCAGTACTACCGCGACCAGCGCGACAAGCTCGCGGCCGCCATTTCCATAGGACTGGGTGGTGTGCCGGGGCCGGTGCCCACGACTCCCGGGCCGAACAAAACCTACCGTACTCCAAGCGCTGGTTCTTCCCGGTCCCGCCACCTCCGCCGCCGCGACGAGCCCACCAGCGGTTCGGCTTCCGGTGACGAAGACAGCGGTAGCAATGGTAACTCCAACAACAGAGATACCCTCCGCCCACAAACTGCCGCCCCATCATCATCAACGCAGACACAAGGAAGCATGGCCCGCATAAGACAGCACATGCGCCACCACAGCGGAACGAGTGATAAGAGCATTCGAACCGTGATGGCTGAACAGCAGCAACAAGACCAACAGGCCCCCGAAGCAACCGCTGCCGATAAAGCTCTAGATACCTGGTACAACATCAACAACTACGGTTTCACGCGCGACAGCACCGGGGCAGCAGGAGGAGGAGCCGACGACGCCAACAGCCTCAAGAACCTTTTGCACAGTCTAAACAATAAACCCAACAACCTCAACAGCAGCAGCAATGGCTACAATCGCCCGGCAACCTCCGCTTCTACCATGACTTCAACCCCAACAGCCACCGCAGCCAACAACAACGCAGTAAACACAATCAACACATCCCTCAACAACGGCCTCTCCCCCGCTTTTAGGGACCTAGGCAAGATGTTATCATCATCCACTGCTCCGCTCGTGCAAAACTCTTCCGCCGCTTCTGGCCCCGGCCCTGGCCACAGCCACTTGAACTCGCCGTTCCACCAAAACCAGCACCAGCAACAGCAACAACAACAACAAGACGCCGCCGCATCCATGGGAGTGGTGATTACAGATGGAGAGAATAATAGCTATGAGAGTAACATTGGGAGAATGGGCTTCGGTGGAGACAGAGGACGTGATAGAAGTGATAGCCTGGCTAGTCTGGCGACTTTGTCACTTGGTAGTGAGGCGGGGAGTGGAAGTGGGTATGGATATGGGGGAAGAGGATGGGGAAATAAAAAGGCGAGAGAGGTGGATGAGTTTGAAGTTAGGGATGATTTGGTTGCTTGGACTATTGCTGCTCGCAGCTAGGGGGTAGGTGGTCGGTGGTTAGGTAGGTTGTTAGGGGATGGGGAGTATGGAGGGTGGGCGGGATACCATAGATAGTTTTGATTTGTATCTTCATTCTCTTCATACTTTTTTCCTTGTAGCGCGGAGTTTGTAATAATAGATGGTTTTGGCTTTTTCACCGATTAACTCTTGCGTCCTTGTACCTTGAGACCTCAAATGTTATTTTGTTATATCACTAGGAGAGTACCGAATCCTCTCTTTGTCTACGACACGACACACATATACAGGTAACCATGAGGAATGGAAGACGAAATGGAACGCCATGAGCAACTTGACCCTTCCACAGAAGCCATCTGATACCTCCGACCTTACGCCCCTCCACGCCTTTAGACTTAAAAGATGGAATTAACCAAATTAGCGCCCACGGTAGCACCCGCTCCGAAAACCGCCGCATTTCCAAACTTCTTTCCAATGCTCTTTCCATGTTTCTCAAACTTGCTCTCCTCCTTTTCACCTTGTGGGGCATTAGGATCATACACCTGTCCAGCAGGCGGTGGTCCAGGAGGGGGCGCTACATAACCCCCACCGTACGTCGGTTGTGGTTGTTCGTACCCTCCATAACCCGGACCACCCGCTCCGTAACCCCCAGCTCCTGGGTACCCTCCAGCAGCAGCGGACTTTTCATTTTGATAACCGCCCTGAGAGTCCCACGCATTCGTGCTCTGCACAGGCGCCGCTTCGACCTCCACGTAGCTCTTGGGAAAGATACCCTCCTGTCCCGTACGCACGCATCGACCCATCCACCAGTCGGCGTTCATGTACTCGTAGACGTGGATCTTGTCGCCTTTGTCGAAGCTGCAGTCGCGCGCGTCTGAGGCGTCGTATTTGTAGAGGGCTTTGCAGTGGGCGATTATGGGCTTTGATGCTGGTGCCGGTGTTGGTGGTTGGGAGCGGCCTGGTAGGGGCGGGGGAGGGGCACTGGAACTGCTGGTAGATTGGGCGTATGATGGGGGTGCCGGAGCACCAGGAGCTGGGGAGGGCGTGGGGTTGTTTCGGGAGAGGTTGGAGAAGGCGTTGGCGGCTTGGCTGACGGCTGGAGGAGGGTTTTGTTGGAAGCGAGCGGCGATGGAGCTCACGCCGCCGCCGCCCACGGGAACAGGAGGTTGAGGTTGGGCGGCGGCGGCGGCGGCGGCGGCGGGAACAGCACGCGGGGCGGCTGGGACGGGGGTGGAGGATGTACTGCCGGAGAGACTGGCTTCGGCGGGGGAGGAGGGAGGTGATGCTGTCGAAGACTTCGTCGGTTACGATGCCCTTCTCGAGAAGCGATTCTAGTTCCTGTTTTGGGGAGGTGGGGTGTTAGTCAAACCGAAGGCAAGGAAGATACGGGTTGGGAAGGTTTCTACCCGCCCCTTGGGCGATGAATTAGGCACAAGAGAGAGAGGGAGATATGGGTGAAGGCCTTACATTCTTGATGAGACGCAGAGACCGGTTGGTCTCGATGATGCGCTGGCGGTCTACTGACACCATGGCTGTGGTTCAAGGTCTCTGGCGAGAGACGAGGATTCGGTGTTGTTTATTTGGTCGGTGTGAACGATGCTACTCTCCAGCAAACAATCGAACAGTTTCTTTTCCGTAGGTGAACAAGACAAATGGACAGGCAGGTCCGGAAATTGTACGATGGGGTCGGTTCAGTTCAGTTGTAATAAGTCAGATAAGGAAGATGGATGTGGATTGATAGTGGAATGGAGGTGGACGAGCATGAAAGCGGAAGGCGGGAAGATGTGATGGGCGGGAGGGAGTGGCGCAGACCGGTTGGACAACAGGGCACAGCTGACGCAGCAGGCGCGGGAAAGAGCACGGGGCAGTGCCTACTGCTTGGGGGCAACTCGGCACCACTAAAACCGCTCCCAGAACCCCGCCAATCCGCCAAGTTGTCCGCTGTGGAGGACTCGGCACGCAAGAGATGTCCGGCGATCGTCCACCACCGCAGATCCCAAGCTGCCTTCTCTCAAATATCATCAGACTCGATTTCGTGAGTAAAGTTTTGGCAAGGAGTTTGTAGTACATTAATCTGCGCTAGGTAGAGAGCTCTAGTCGTGAACCGGTCATTCCTGTCTTAAGGTAATCAACCTTCAGGTGTATACCAATCGTACAGTTTGCGCTTGTCGCGCTACACCCATTGACCCACCAGGGTTAGGGTCTTAGAAAAAGGGTGTCCCTCGTTGATGACGATGTTCATACCATCGACACTCCTTCACCAGATACGCTTCCAGATAGCATGAAGTACCCCGAGCCTCATCTGTATATTTTTGGGAATAAACTCAACAGTTCATTTCTTTCCTTCTTGTTTGTATCGTTGAGCAAGTGTCCAAGCAAATAATCTTCTCACAGAATCAGGCATTCTCCTCAAGGTCCTCATGATGGAGACATTCAAAGATGTCTTCCCATATCCCTCATCAACTCCCTCAAAGCCGGCACTGCCATCTTGAAGTTTGGCAGAATTTCCTCCAGGTTGGTGAACGCCGAACAATGGTCCTCTAGCTTCTTCAGAACCCTCGCGTCTGAGCGACCCCAGTCCTCGGGGCTTAGCTGTTTCGCCGTGTTGGCAATGATTGAACGCCAGCCGTTGGGGATGAAGGAGAGATGCTTGTCGATCAACTCGTTGGCTGATTTGGTTTTGCGGCTTGGTTGGAAGCGGGAAGGGATGGACTGCGAGGAGAAGTCCGTGTCGTTGTTGTTAGTGATACTTTGAATGGAGCTCGAGCGGTTGGAGCGGCGATGTGATGAACTTGACTTCGGCTTGTGCATAGGCTGAGAGTCCTCGCGAACGCGGAAAAGTTCGCGTCGAAGCTGGGCGGGGACTGCGGCTGCGTGAAGTTTTTGCAGTTGCTGTGCCTTGAGATTGTCTTCCTGGACGGAGAGCAAACTGGGAGGAAGAGGCTCTCTTGGCGGAGGCTTCAACAGCTTCCGAAGTTGTTGATTCCGAATAATCGTCCTCGTCACTGTCGAGTCTCAGATGGGTAAAAGAATGACGACCCGAGCGTGAGTGAACTTTCCTAACGGGAATTGTAGGCTCGGATTCGGTGATGTATGCATTTTGACGACCAACCACATTCTGTTGTCCTCTGTTGGCCGGTTGAATGGTCAAATCTAAACCGCTGACCGTCGACGCTGGAGTTCCAGATTGTCCGAGTGCTTTGGGGCTGAGAGCATTTGCGCTCTTGTCGACCTGGGAACTGAAAGGTACCAGCGCGGACGATGTGTAGTTCTGGTCGTTCTCGTCCCGAAAGAATTGCCCCCTCATTCTCCACGGACTCGACTCAACCCAATCTTCAGTTGTCGGCTGAGTCTCCATTGGAAAATTCTTGTCAATCTCATGGACACGCCGCTTCTTCAGCTCCTCGATTTCACTCTGCATCTTGCCAATCACCCCCCACAGCTCCTCCCTCATCTTTACCTCAACCTGCTCTCTCTTCGTATTCTCTTCCCTGATTTTCGCCAGCTCTTCCTCAACCCGGTTTTTCTCCGCCTCAAAAGGCTCAATCCCATGTTTGTAGATATCATCAACTCGTTGTTCAAACTCGTTCCCCAGCTGAGTAAACCGGACATTGATCTCGTCAATCTCCTGCGCGACCTTAGCGCTCACCTCCTGCCTGATTTCACGCTCCACGCTGGCAGGGAACGGAACAGCTGATTGCGATGGGGTGAGCGCTGGAGTCGGGGGTTGGGAAGCATTATTTCTGGCCGCTGTATCTCGTGGTGAGGTAGACTCGCTGGAGTTGGCAAGGACCGGGAACATGTTCTGAAACCTAGTATGAAGCCCGAGGAGGTCTCGCGAAAAATCCTCGAGGTCGTGCCGCAGAAGCAACTCCGAGTTTTTGGCTTGGTTGGTGGCTGGTATTCGCGACATCTTGAATGAGTATGTGCGTGGCGGTTGTTGAGGTGAATATTGTCGCTGGAACTTGTTCTTTGAAGTGCCTCGTAGGGTTGATCCAAGCCTACTATCTTGACGATCAGCTTTTGAACTTTATAACGCGCGACTCGGCCTTCTTACCTCGATGAAGTCAACCGAGACTGACCTAACGATCAGGTGAGGGCCGCGGCACGAGTTCGAGATATGCAGTTGGGATAGAAAGAGGATGGGAGCTGGAACGAAGAAGCAATGTCAAGAAGGATAGATGGTCTTGAAAAAGTCGCCAGCAGTGTTGCTGTCAGAAGATGGAAGACCACTGATACGTATGAGGTAGAAGGGTTTGATGGAGGAAGGAATGAAGGGAGAAGGTGGGGTTGAGGATCAGAGGAACAAACAAGTTGACGCAAGTGGTTTTTGAAAAGAGAAGGCGCGACTGGCAGACGCGACCGAGAAAGGAACTGAGTACGAGGTGATGTCAAAGTGACAAACGTGGGATCATCTTATATTAACGGACGTTGCCCATAAAAAGCATAACGAGAGAAAAGAAAACAGGGGCGGCCTTCAACGGGGTCGGCCCAAGCCTATCTCGTAAGAAGTGAACAAGCAAAGACTAGGTACATACCACAGCTCCCAAACCCGAAGTCCAACAGCGTTTTCTGCACAGATTCTTGACCAAGGCTTCACCAATTTCTCACAGCATGATGACTTGAAAGGCCGGGATAAACTTCCTATCCCATCCCCCAGCAGCTAGCAGTATCACTTCATACCTAGCAATCATCATTCCTAACAATCACACTCCACAACCCCTTCATGTGAACGGCCCCCTTCACCAACGCACCTTTATTGTTGACCATATCCGGCGTCCCCGTGTTTTTTTGCGTCCCTGCATAAGAACACTTATCATCGATCTGTTCGGCCGCCCAAGCTATGTCGGCGTAGGAGTCGAGTTGGTTCTCGGCTTTTGGGTTCTATTTATACGTTACGTCAGTAAGCAACCCCCTACGTACGTACGTAAGTGAAAGAGAGGAGCGGAGGGGAGGGGGAGGGAAGTAAAGAAAAAAAAAAGACGAAAAAAATAGGATAGGGGTATAGAACACTTACATCATTACACCAATAAATTGCCGCCTTCCAACTACAGCTGACGCGTCCACAATTGTCCGGCCCGATTCCGTTTGCGGGCTTGCCCTTTACTCCCCGAAGATGGTGGATGCCGTCCCAGACTTTCCTGCTTTCGGCGTATCCCCACCTGCTGTTGCCGTTGCCGGTGTTGTCGCAGTCGATATCGGTAATCATATGGCTGGTCTTCATGCGGGCTTCGAGAAGGGTGGTGCTGGTGCTGGTGCTGGTTACGTTGAGGTAATCGGGTACCTCTTTTGATGATGGGGACTTGGAGTTGGAGATGCTGTCAGTGTTGGTGGTGGGGAAGGCGAGGGTGGTGGCCGGGAGAGCCTAGGTGGGTTATTTTGTAAGTAAATGTAAACGTCAAGGTAAATGCCAGTGTAATGACTATGTGGTGAAGGGTTTATTGAGTTGAGTAGGTGGATTAGAAGGTGTTTCGTAGGGTACATACCTGGAAGATAGCCGAGATGGCTCCAGCGGAGAAGATGAACGACGAGAACATGGTAAGAAAATGAAGTGTACGAACACCTCTCTCTAAGTACGCAGTAGATTGGTAGGTATTAGCAAGAAAAATGGTGCCCGTGCCGGTGAAGATACCCAGGTTGTCGTCCTCGAGAATATAAAAAGCACCACAGGTAACGGCTCATCCTCTGTCCTTATATACACAAAGGACTCGCTCGGCTCGAGTCTTCCATACAACAAACAATCAATGTGGTAGCCGATAGTGACATATTCGAAGCGGGATACGGCGTGACGCTCAAGGATATCTGATATCTATACGTAAGAGGTTGATTTTGATAAAACTATTGCGCTGGAATTCCTGGGGTGCTTTGATGTAAACGCGGAACGCTTGTATCCCTGACGAGTAGTCGCTTTGAGAATCCTGCCGCGCCTTTGTAAACATTAGTGACGTGACTCCTTGTTTCCTGGTTGACGGCGGGCGGCAAGAATCCATGTCTGCGGCAAAAGGGAGAGGTGAAAGAGGAATTAGAATTAACGTTGTTTATACTGTCTTCGGAGTGAGCTCCCATGACTTGAGGGGAAAAAAAGAGGTTCCCTTGAACACAACAGAATGAAGCACTCACTGTTGGTAGTGCAATCGTTGTTTGACCTCTGCGCATATAGAACAGCGATAATAAGAACATAAAAAGGGTAAGAAAAGAGTGGACTTACAGCTTGTTATAGGATCATGTTGCTGGCACTAATACATATACCCTATTACCACACTACGTAGATTGCGGGCTGGGTCAGTCCCAGTTGAAGAGCTGGGATGGAATATTGGCGGTGGAAAAGAAGCATGAACTTGGAAGGTGCGAAACAGAGAATGGTAAAGCATGGCAGCAAATTTATTCTCCAAAAAAGACAATTTGATTTCATTCATCCACATTAACCCACTACTACGTGCCCGAGCAACCGGAAACTTGATCTCGTAGCCAAGAAGCATACGAGATAGTTCCATCGCTGAACCAAAAATTAACAAATAGCCAAGAACACTGACATCGCCATTGCACGGCCTATCGCAAGCCGAGTTATCAGTGTTCGGGACAGCAGCAGCCGGGAGCTGCAGGCCGCAGTTACAGTTATTGTCCCTCATGGCCGAGTACTTGTAGCCAAAAGCTCTGCAGGTGCGCGCGCAGTCAAGAGGAGTCTGCGTAGAGTCCCAATAGGAGCCGGGGTCCCATCCGGGGAAACTTCTCGAGGGGTCAAGACGTGAGAATCCATGTGGACCGAAGTGAAAGTCGCGGGTAATGTCTTCGAAGTTGCCGTAACAGCTGAGATAGACAAAGTTATCGGCACCACATTTGTCTATCGTAGTCTGGAAGCTTCCGAAGTAGGCCTGCCCATTGACAAGGCCCAAGAGGCCGGCTGCAGCTAAGGCAAGCCGGCCAGGGCTCGATTGCCAGCCCATGCTGACGGGGAGGTGACCTTACAAAGGATAGTGTAGCCCGGTGATGTTGTTCAAAGACACACAAAGGGAAAAGAAAACGAAAGGCGTTGGCTCATACGACCAACAGAAAAAGGGATCGGGAAAGAAGCATAAAAGAGCGACTGGGGAGAAGAGCAGAGGGAAGATGATGTGAAGACAGTCGACGGCCTAGGTCGGTATTTGAAGATGTTGAGAGCAGGAGCAAAACAATATGGTCCAAACACCTCTAGCCATAGTCACGTAGGCGCCCTTGACGCGTGGACTATCCAGAAGCAAGGAAAACATGGCAAACCCGTGGGCTGGAATGCTCGTGAAGGGCCAGAAAAAAGGAGTGAGATGAAATTCGAGACAGTCTTGGTGTTAACATTGCTTGCGGAGGGCGACTGGCCGTAGAGGATGCTCGGCTTCAGGGAGGTTGTCGGGACCTGTGGTGGTGTGCTGAGCACTCGCTGAGCACCTCCATGGCTGGTATTGATGGTTGAGCCTTCGTGTCTCCAAACTGTCCCTCGAAATTCTTCCCTGAATGCTCAACTAGCGTTCCCAAGGGGCAGACATCGATCGCCAGTAGATGTTGCCTCGAGGGTGAGGGCGTGACCTGCAAGGGATGGTGGTCTTGGATGGCAGGTGGTAGAGATGACAATCATGGAATGTCCACCAAGTCTTGTTGTTTGTAGATACATGTAGATATGGCTAATGATCAGAGGTTAGTATGTCTGTTTCTTGCGAAGTTGGCAACTTGCCCGTGATGCTGGAGCCCGGCGATGTAATGTTGACATTGCAAGGTTTGATTACGTTGCGCATATCGTCAAGCTAATGAATGGCAACTAAACTGGACCAATCTGAATGAACAAATAGTATTGAAAAGCAAGAGAGGTTTGAGGATCGAGTTGTCGTGGTGTTTTAGCCGGCTGTGTGGTTCATGACTGATGTCAGCATTCGTCGATGAATTGTTGAAGTGTGAGGGTTGGAACAGCAAATGGGTCCTATTCCTGCGGTGGTGATGACTGGTGCCTGCCGGAAGACGTGCTTGCTGCGTGAGCATATAGGGTTAGGGTCACCGCGGTCAATTTCAAAAGTGGGGATATCATGATGCATGCCCGTCGTTTGCTCCTCCCAATGCGCCTGCCATCACTCAATCAACATTGCGTTCCAAGGCTTCGACCACTTGGCTCCTCCCCGACTTTCCAGTTTTGTCTGGGAATGTAATCTCGTCATTTGTTTCATCAGGTAACCCCCGGGCATCTGCTGGAATCAAGCACCATGCAGACCTTTAAACAACATCGTCGCCTCCCACACACAGGAAGGATAGTGATGACGATCACGACGTTATTCTAGCACGCCAAAATCCTCAGCAAGAGATAATTTTGAGTTAGAGTACCTCTGTTATGCCATCGCTCTTTGTCTTATCTACAGCATCACTCTAAGAGCTATTAGGTCTGACACAAATGTTTACAGTCTCGATACAGATCTGCCGTTGCTTGTGTGTAACGTCCACTTCCGCTTCCTTAACAGCAGGAATCGCCCTTGCACCCGATCACCCTTGTGATCCGCAAAGTGAAAGAACATCACTTTGTTCCTTCCCATTCCAGAGTGGCATCCCCTTCCTCAATGCTCTCATATGGAATGTCGTTCACACTCTTCACGCTCTGCTCCTCACCAGCAGGATTAAGCCCCTTGGGACTCCCAGCCTTCGACCCAGAAGCACGAGCATCACCCTCAGGCTCAACATCGTCCCTACAATAGAACAGATCGTACTCATGACCCGGTTCACCCAATTTCCACCCGTCAGTCAAATACCTCGTGCCGCTTCCTTTCTTATTCATCATAGACACCTCAGGCACGACGATGCCGTCCGCCCCCCGTACCATGTCACCAATCCGCTGCACATCGTATGTCCTGACCAAATCCTGCTCCTTCGGATTGCTTGAATTGCGCAGTCGCACCACAGCAAAAATGGAGTATCCCTGCCTGATGGCTCTTCCTTGCTTATCATGGCGCGCCCACTCTGCCAGAGAGGTGGAAATGTCCATCTTGCGGCCGCCGACGGTGATGTGTCTGAGGTCCTCGAATCCCGGGTTCTGGTCGTGAGGACTGGCACTCCCTTCAGGCGAAGGAGAACGGCGAGTGTCCGCGGCAGGTACGTATTTGACCCGCAACACTTTGGGAAAATTCGGCTGGTAGAGCAACCACTGCCCGTCTGGACGCTGGCGGGGAAGAATCACGGACGTCAAAAAGGCGCCGAGACCACGAAACTGCTTGTGCTCCAACGCCCAGTCGAAGTGAACGAGGGAGTAGTGCGCGTTCATGTGGGTCGGGATTTTCTTGCGACCGGCCGTCCACGGCCCAGCTTCGGCGGGGGCGCAACCGACGATGGGGGAGTAGTAGAGAAAGGAGGGGTGGCTCCAGATGGCATCGTTAGCGAGGTCACTGGACATGATGTAGGAGAAGGAAATCGGTCCGTCGGCGTGCCGGTGATTCGGGAAGCTGGAGAGGAGTAGCTCGGCCATGTCGAACATCGTCTTGTCGTAGGCCGCCGATGATGGTACGTTCTCGTTCTTCCTATTCTTTCCCTTTGCCTTGAGGAGGCCGGGCGTGTCGATCCAGGATACTGCGAGGAGGGGAAATTGCTCCTCGTTCTGGTAGAGAAATTTGCGGAGGTCTGACTGCTCGCGATCCTCGTCTGTCTTGGCCTCTGAGTCCCAGTCCTCCTCTTCCTCGAGCAACTCGAAGCTGGGCTTGGTCGTCGCAGGAGCTGCCAGCACGTTGCCGTAGATCATGCGCATTACGATGATGGCGACGTTGAAACCGCTCATGTCCTTTTCGGGGTGCGACAGGGGCTCAAACCAGGCCTGGGTCGTGAGCGACTTCTTAATAGCTGTGATATCATCGGCCTGGTCGAGCCGGAAATCGATCCAGCTCAGGTCGTCGTGGGACTCGTCGACAATGGTACCGGGGGATGACACGGACATCGTGGTGGCTTAATGTTGTTGAATCATCAATGTTGACGCGTTAATGCTTGCCCTCTGTCTTACAAAGTCGCCTTGTCGTGGGATTGATTGTCGATGGAGGAAGAGAAGTGAGCAAACGCGACAGGAGGGAGGAAGGAGTGGGGTAGCAATATAAGGAGAGGACGACGGAAGTAGAGGGATTACAAGTGAATGTTCTTCAAGAAAGTGCGCACTCTCGCTCACATTGAAACGTTGCCGCCGGCTACGAAATCACGCTGGTATTCTTCTGATTCCGTACGAAAGAAAATGATTCGGAAACAAGTGACGTCCCATGACAAGAAGCAGCGTCCAGCAGACGAGTAAATAACAGAGGTGAAGAACTCGACAATCGCGTTGTTCAGATGTTGTGCCATGTCCTCCGTGTGCTTTAACCTCACTTGGTACCTTCCTGTTAACACGACGAATGCTGCCTCCGTGAAATTCAGTTTACACTTTCGTCCAATGTTTTGACCGAGCGGCAGTGGACGGGTGAAAGCCAGCAAGGACCCGTGAACTCAGCAAGCGAAGATGATCCAGGACAACAAAGGTGGTAAAATCGTGACGCGCGCTTCAGCTGCCTTTATTTGTGTAAGTGACCTGGGGAATTTTGAACAGCAACGTGATTTGCCATGATTTTTCATCGATATTACTTGTCTATCTTTCAGAAGTTTACCCATGCCCATTGCATAATAGCTCATGCAGTGGATTATAGTACCAATAAGAACTGAAGCTCCAAAAAGAAAAAGAAAGGAAGTAGAAAAGCAAAAAGCTCAGTCACCTCCCCGCTCCCGGATCGAACCCGGGATGCAGTCGCAACGACCTACGAAAATACCACGCATCTTCTGCCCCAGCACACTTACCACGTAAGCTACTTACTGGAGGTATTTGGAGGTCCTGAACTGCTGCCTTATATCGTCCCAAGGGAAGAGGTCCTGCCCTGTGGGTGCTGCTGTGGGGTGGGGACCTGGATAATGATGAGATGGGATGACAAAATGGGAAGGGGCAATGGGAAGAGTGATCATAATCGGAAGGAGTAGATTAGATTGAAACAAATAGCAGAGATGAAGACTGGTACTGTAATTTATGAAAAACACCAGGCATATCTCCATTATTGACTACACCGTAACTTCCGTCTTAGTTCTGGCATGCTGAATCCCATCCTCGACGCCAGTCTCGGTCGTACTTCCAGATCTCGTCCTTGACACAGGACCTGTCGCCCCCTTCCACGCTCGAAGCGCCAGTCCCTTGAGCCACTTGTAGATCACATCACCGTAGTCAAGCCATACGCGCCAAAATACCACGATGGTGATGGTCGCTGGCACCGTCGTGACGAAGTAGATCCACAACTCGTCCGAGACTTCCCAACTACCATTGTCGCCGTACGTAAAGAAGGTGGTGCTGAAAAGTGCCTGCCATAAAATCTGGTGTCAGGGGTTATCACAAAAATGAGGAAGGGACGATGGGTCCTCCAAAAAAGAAGAAGAAGGGGGGGGGGAACACTTTTCAACTGGAAATGAAAGGAAAGGACGAAGCAGGACGTACCGAGATGAAAGTGGCAGGCAGAAAGATCATGGTCAACAGCGCAATAGACTTCATGACGCTGTTATCCTGCCGTGCAATATTATTGTACGCCTGTGTTTGTTTGTTTCCATCTCGTCAGTATCGTTCTTTGCAAAATGAGTGGGTGACCAGCAAAAATACATACCAACCCAACCTCATTCTTCAACCTCTGCAAACTCGAATCACTCCTCAACTTCAAGCTCCTCACCAACGAAAGCTGAAATTGCGTATACTCCCTCGCCTGCGCTCTGTACGTCAGAGTCAGACCCCTCCTTTGAAGACCGCTTCCACCTGTGCGCTGCTGTCCAGGCCCATGCCCGTGTGCAGCAATAGTCTCATGAATCTCCCTCTGATACCTACCAAGTTCCTGAACCGTCTGCATCCCCGCCTCCAGCACCTCAGACGAGTGGTTTGCGTGCCGTGCGTGATCATGAATCTGCTCGAACAGATCGTGCCCATTGAGCCGCGACTTTTCGAGAAGCCGAATGGGATCACGCACGCGCCAGACGGAGATGTCGGAGTAGGTGATCATAACATCTAGGAGGTCGGCGTGGAGAGCGAAGGGGTCTGCTTGAGCTGCTGCTGCCTCCGAAAGATTCGGACTCTCTGTTTTCTTCAGCAGTGCGTCCCTGAGCCGGTCTGGGAAATCAGGTGGCGTGTCAACGCATAGAACTCGGCATTTTCCTGGGCTGTCCCAGCGGGTAAAGGCGCTCATCTCGAACCACTCGTATCCCTTTCTAGAATCTTCGGGGACGTATTCGGGCTCCTTGTCGTAGGGTTTGTACTTATCCTGGAAAGAGTCGATCTTTTGGACCATTTTGACGAGGTAGCGGAACCATGTTGTGCAGGTCGTCAATGCAGGTGTAGTAGAGGTGGTCTCTTCCGCTTGTTGCTCTCCAAAGGGATTTGTATGCTGCGGTTCTTCGAATACTGGCTTGCATCCAGCATAGCCGTTCAGTTCGAAGCAGGTTCTGCTGGCGACGAAGCGGGGGACATTGAAGGCGGCGAGAAGGGCTTCGCGCCCGCCGTCTATGGAAGGATAGTCATCTTTGTGCATGAATCTGAGGTATGTTAGTCAGAAATAAACAAATCATTGTCTAGTGTTTTCGCTTCATGGTCCGTACATGTACGGTAGTTGGACTCACAAGTAGCATTGATCTGGTAGGTCCCCATGTGCCGGGTGTACGAGGTTAATTAACGTCGAACAATCAACGCATCTTTCCTCAATCAACCAATTTGCTTCCTCAGCTGCTGAGTTCTATCATGTTGGCTAATTTGTTCAAGGTGGTTCATTCTCGTCAACAAACAGGCAAACAAACTCACAGGTGGAAAGTATCCTAACTCCGAGACGACCTTCCATTGTGTCGTCGTCAATCAATAATGTTATCGTATTTGTCAATCCTTTACTACACGAGCTTTCAATCGCGGTTACGGTTGCAACTGAATGAATCGAACGGCAAGTTCACACAAACATTGGTAGGTACGCTTGACCTTAGAAGACAACGAATATGGTAGGTACCTATCGTGAGGCTCCGCCCCCAGGACAGGATTGCGACTTTCTGTTGTTGAGTCGCAAAGCCTTACCTCTTAGTAGGTGCCTATTGCCTTCGCGACACGATAGCACTCAGCCTTTTGGCAGGAAAGAGCCCCGCGTTGGGCCTTCACTGGCTGGAGGCCGATCATACTCAGCCACGTGTCTAGGCTAAAAACCTAAAGCTGAAAGAATGCCACTCGCGCGTATCCAATGAATGGATGAGAGTGAGGGTTATCTGCATCTCCCACCGTATCAGCTGGGCGATGTCGTGCCAACTTACATGGGAGAAAAGTCATGAAATTGAAGAACAGCGAAAGAAGCATCTCGGTATCAAGTTTCTGCCCTTTGATGGTTAGCAGGGTTAGGGTTTACCGTCTCCTTTTTCTTTTTCTTTCAGCCCTCCATGTTACCAGTCTCACCAGTCAGTCAGTCAGTCAGTCAGCCTATGCAACTCGGTGCTATTCATGCAATCCGTAACCCGGTGATTACCGACCACTATCAACAGCTAGAGGTACCTACCCATAATCTTCAGTGTTATCTCTCCCGGCACTTACAAAACAGCAAAGTGAGCTTCCTTTTTGAGGCTCTGGGCATACTTTCAGAGTAACTTAATACCACTATAATAGAGCCGAATGCTGCCCCCTATTGTGGCGGGTCCTGGCTTACGATTCGAGCGCTTCGAGCGCGTCGAGACCTTTTTCGACCTTTGAAGCAACCTCCCTCTTTCTTTCTTTCACATACCACCTTGCCGTATCTCTCTCTCGCGCTAGTGTGTATACACAAAGCACAATCATGAACCGTTACTCTGCATTAGTGCAGCAGCGTTGAAAGAAAAGGTCCGGGAATATCTGCTACTGTATAGACAACTGTACAGTAGCGCTCGCATATAAAGCCGTTATATGTGACATGGTATATACCTTACTTACGGGGCATTGGCAACGCCCAACTATTGAAGCAGCCCCTGGGAAAGGGCATGTCACTCAAGCACTCGGCTCTTTGGGACTTCGAGAACCATGGTTGGAGGCATCGCTTGATGGCCGTGCGTTTCGATGCGAGTGCCAGACTTGGTAATCAGTCCCGCTATAATATGTATGTATGTATGTATGTATGTATGTATGGGCAAAGTGACGGTGTTGAGTTTGGGCGCATATGTAGAGGTAGGCGGGTCGTTTTCGTTTCTGCATTCTTGACTTCGCGTAGAGGTCGGTGAGAGGTGAAGTGGTGTAGGTAGACATCACGGGTGAGAAACAGTTGTAGTGAGTGATTGTAGTGGTGTGCTGGAACGGGTCGTCTAGCCAGCCCTATTGAGAGCTAGTAAGTATCTCGCGAAACTGGTCCCTGAACCCCTCCGCGTTTTGTCTATCTTTTCCCTTTTCTCATGGGTTCGCAAGGGCCGTCCGTTGTCTTGTCAATCTTGTCAACTTTCGTCTCCCCCACGGGAAACCCAGTCCATTGGAAGCTCCCAGCAGGTTCTTGGATGGTGATGTGCTATGTTGAGGCTCTAAACCCTCATAGTAGACTGGACTGGCAGGCCAGGTAGACCCTGTACTTCAAGGGCTGTTGTGAGAGACGACGGAGGTTTTTACAACACCACGTAAGCACTATAAAGCCCGGTGCTATTGCATGATACCACTCGCGAAGAGCGAAGTAGACTTTACTAGCACGCTGAAGCGACCCCGTCGGTTAGACAAGCGATATTGCTTTGCCGTCTGTGATGACAGAAAGAGCACAATAACTCCAGGTTCTCGGTTTTTGGCCATGTATCTGGTTACCTTAGCACCTTGCGCTACCTCTGGGCGGGTACTGCCTGCCACTACCACTGCGATTGCTGGGAGGTTCTCCCGTCCTCGTCGAAGAAGCCCAGGAACTCTGGTTCAGGGGATCGTTCGGGTGCCGAGATGGCGTTAAGCGATTGCGACCCCTGTATTTGTCTCTTAAATGATGGTTATGCCTCGGCGTAGGGCGCTTGAGGGTGTGCTATGCGACGCTGAGCGGAAACGAAGGTCGAACCTAGAATGGGTTAATTTGGGACGATACGACAGTACACTGTAGTGTATTTGATCTGGAAGACGGTAAGCTGTAGAGGTGGAGAAAGCTAGAGATCTGTGCACCACCTCAAGTATCCTCGTAAACCATCAGTGGAGAAATGCAAATCATGGTGGAAAGATCTTCAACGAGTCCAGATCTGACGAGAATTTGGTACTGGAATCGCGAATGGTAGGTTGTTGTAGGGCATAGGTATGACAGTGGTGGATAAACTTGCTGTGCATCGTAACGATAGGCGACTCCAAACTTGCAAAACGCCTCGCCTTGGTCTACCAGCAGCCGGTGTGATTTTGGTGATGTTGAAACAGCCAACACATCCTCTGAAGGAGAAGGAAGAGAGACCATCAAAAAAACCCACCTGTCTCTCAGCTTCAGCGCGCGAGAAGGCGAGCAGACAGATACAGTGCCCGGCCTCTCCGTCACCAACACTGCAGGGTTGACCGGGCCGGAGCCCGTTGCGGATTTTGTACCGGTCTGGTGGAGTTCAGCTAGGGAAGTGCCTGACTTGAATCCTTTGGGATCTCCTGGTTTGAAGCGCAGTCAGGATTGGACGCACAAGCGCCGTGGTGGCTCTGGCGACTCCAAACAGTGTTTCCTTGCTCTCATTAATCCTTCAAACCTTCCCACTGTATCGAGTCGTCCAAGGTGAAGGTGTTCGGTGTATCAAGACACCCAACAGTCTAACCTTGGCACTGCCAAGAGACAAGAAATTCAGTGTGAAGGGTCGTTGGCGGTTATCCTTGTGACTTGTTATGCCTGGTGAAGAGGTCACCCTGTAACCCGTGGAGGGCGAGGATGTGCATAACACTGTACATACCTACTGTAGCTCAGCCCGGTGAGATGTTCGTCTGTGGAGGACGTGACGAAAGATGGAAATATTCAGAGCTGATCTCCCGCGGTGGAATGTTTTCATCTGCGATGCAGGGGGACTTTTGGTTTTTGGCCTGGAGAGGTTCCAGAGGGTCCCCTTCCCCCCCCCCCCCAAGGGCACCCTTCCGCCCATGGTGCCCCTGACATGAGCTGACTTTTGAATCCCAAGTGGCAGCGCTAGGAGGCTACGACATTGGCTTCAACCCCATCGCGAGACTCAGCCCATCCGTATTTTGAATAAGTGGAAGCAGTACAGCCCAGGGTTGCAATGCCCCTGTATTCTCTGCCTGGAGGTCCTTCAGGGCTTGAAACCCGTTTTCTTGTAGGCGACAAAACAAGCAGGTTTCGTTGCCTGGGTGGCCTGAGCGTACCCTTTGCGCCGCTGGATGTGGCCGTGATATGCGAAAGCGACGACTGTCCAAGGGAGGAAAAGTGTGAAATATTCGGCGGGGAATGGCTCCTCGACACTAATGCGTGTGCTAGTGGAAAGATCACAGGCCAACCGTAATGGTTCTCGTCTGTCCAGGAAGAAAAGAAAAGGTGAAGCGGGAAGGAAGAGCTGTGAAACACAAAGCAAGCTGTCATTCCACGCACTGACTGCCCGTGAGTGTCATACTGTCAACCCCGATGTACTGCGTAGGTGGTGAACTTGAAGATAGGTGTTGGAGGGTTGAAGTTGCCAGCCACTTGCTGCCCGTCGTTCCCCCACCGTCCTTCCTTCTGTCGCCTTTGGTAACGAATGCACTGGCGCACCGGCCATGTCAAGCAAATCCGGGTTAGCGACAACTGCAGCGCACAGACAAACGTTCATCCGCTGTACTAACCCCACTTGTCCCTAGCCCCGGAAGCGCCTCCTCTTTAACCGTGTGCACGGACTCGCCTATCCCAACGTATCTTGGCATCTCTTATTCCTGACTGACACTCTTCCCACTTTCCCTTTCTTTGCACTTGGCAGATTCTTCATTCCATCTTTTCGTCGTCGGCGAGAAGCCATCGCCAATACCGGAGTCGGCCTGCATTGCATTAGCACTGTTCCTGCCAAGGATCGTCCGCGCCCTCTCTGCTCTCTCCTTTGGCATTGACATTGGCCATTCCTGTCCAGCAAGCGGATCTCTCATTTCCATCTTGATGGAACTCGTCCATCCTCCGACTCTTTCTCACTCGCAGAACCTGTAGAGAAGCTTCCGTCTCCGAGCTAAGCTGCTAACTGCTGCGGGATCGGTGTTAGTCAACACCAACCGGACGGGTATGGAAGCCGAACTTTCCAAAGAAACAAAGTGTCATCGCGTCGGACCGTGGTTTGCATCTCGCCTTCAGTTCTCATCGGTCATCACCTCGATTTCCATGTTCCAAGGTTCATCTCATCATTCTCCAACACCACCCATCCATCGCTTCCAGCCCGCATGTTGAGACGGACAACTCGTTCTACAGTTGCAAGTCTGATTCCACACATTTCCATACCGGTACTTTGGTCGCACAATGAGACATCTCATGGTTGGACCTGCAGTCTGCAGCTACCATGACACCCGAGGGTCGTTTTCTCAGGGCCTCTCCGTGTCCTGGCATTGGCCAACCAGGTGGGCCTCTTCCATGCTTGTGCATCCGACTAACGTAGCTCGACATGCATAAGAACAAGGGCGCTCGGATGAATTTCCACGGCTCCCTGTCGGCCAGGCGACGACGCCCTTCCCAAATGGGGTGAAGACCACCGAACTTCTGGTTGAGACTTCAGACCCTCCAGGCCAGCATCGAGATTGGAGAAATGCGAGCAATGCAACCCCTTCTGGTTAGAACGCGGTGGCGACTATAGCTGGAACCACTATCACTGCGAAATATCAATGATCTCGCACCCACCGACCCCCTCGTCGTTGTCATGGGTATGGTCCTGGACAGCAGGAAACCTCTTCCAATGTCTGAGCGCATCCACACATACGAAGCGACAGGAAGGAGGGGCAATGACCCTCAGAGAATGAGAGAATGAGAAAATCCGGGGAAGATGCCAAGCTACCCTTCCCAGGGCCAAACCAGGTTTAACAAGGTGAACCCGGCACTGATACTATACCCAGGGGCCAGGAACTGCAACTGAGATTGAAAGAGATGCTGCATCGACTACACAGTTCAGTGTTACATCTTATCCCATCCGGGACTAAACTCCCCCTCCCCAGAGTCTAGCCGTTTGGAAGGACAAGCCGGAAAGCGTCCGTGTTGCACCGCCGGTCTTGACTACAGTCCGGCCCCGGGTCTTGTTTCTTTCATATAACAGACACTTGACCCGCTCTTTACTTTTGCCATGGAATCCGTAGTTCCTTGAGTGCATATCCAACATTGCCGACACGGTTCTCGCGGCTCAAATTCGAGTCTCAACAGTAGCCCTTTTCGTGGGTATCAGCCCGTTCTTCAGGGTCTACACTGCCGTGTAGGCAAACCGCCACAATGTCAAGCTCGACCGCAGCAGATGAGGGAAAGGTATGGGAATCGCGTGCCCATGTGCCCATTACGGTCGTGACGGTGGTGCTGGGCTTGGCTTCGTTGGCCGTTGGCCTCCGAACCTATGCCCGTGCCGTGGTGATTCGCCAATTCGGCATGGACGACTATGCCGCCATCACTGCTCTTATTTTTGCCATGGGCAGCGGTATTATGGTGGCTTCAAGTATGTTTAAATGACACCCTCACAAGTCTCTCAAGGTACTAACGTGTTATTAGACACCATCTATGGTGCTGGTCACCATATGGGCGATCCTTCGATCGATTGGAGCCAGCTACCCAAGTATTTCAGGGTACGCCTTCAAACAGTCAGCTATGGCACTTGTTTGGTGTAAGCTAACTTTAAGAACAGACATTCTACATCTCCATTGTCCTTTACAACGCCTCCTTGACGGCGATCAAGCTCACCTTTTTGCTCCAATACTACCGAGTTTTGGGAACACGACAGATGCGCAAGGTTGTCGTCTATGCACTGGTCTTCGTTGCCATGTGGTCCATCTCGCAGCTGCTTATCGTCATCTTCACCTGCACTCCGATCGAGAAGTTTTGGCTTGCAGACTCGGTTCCAGGAAAATGCATGCCCAACTTGCCCTTCTGGTATATCAATGCCGCTGGCAACATTGTTACCGACGTCCTGATCTTCATCATCCCCCTACCGGCGCTGGGAAGTCTCAACCTTCGGAAGAACCAAAAGCTAGCGCTTATCGGCGTCTTCTGTCTTGGTTTCTTTGTGAGCATTCCCCCTCTTGGTAACCTGCCATCTGAACCCAATTGTCAGTTACTAACACCTTATTCCCCCTTTTCAGACCTGCGCCATCTCCATCATCCGCATTCAATATCTCAAGCTCAGTGACGACACCACCTGGGACAACGTCGACTCGTCCTGCTGGTCCGTTTCCGAACTCGCCTCCGGCATCGTCTGCTCGTGCCTGCCCACGCTCCGTCCTCTTCTCGCGCGCGTCATCCCTTCCATGGGCTCTCACAGCGCCCCCAGCCACGCCAAATATGTTCACCACTCATCCGGCCGCGACGTCACCGAGGGCAGCAGTATGGGTACCAAGCCTAAATCCGGCAAGTTCGGCGGCCGCAGCGTTGTATACCCAGAGGATGTGGAGCTTCAAACCAAGGCCGACAGCCAGGAGGAATTGGAGAAGCACGCGGCCGTGATCGCACACTCGGCAGTTCCGGTACAGCCTGGCCATCACCACGCAAGGACGGCAAGCAAGGACCAGTTCAACCGATCGCCATCGCAGAACCGTGGTCCCGGGGGACACCGCATAGAGGAAGGCGGTTACGTGCCGCCTAACCAGCTTGGTCTGCAACCGACGGTGCGGACAGAAGTCATGGTCGGGTCGCAACAGCAGCAGTCGAGGTGGACGAGACCGGTGGAAGGGACGATCTCTGTGAAGCATGATTTGGTGGTTACTCAGGACTATAACTAACCAAAACCACTAGTCCCTTTTTTCTGTCTGTCAAAGCCTTTCCTTTGTCAATATTTTGCGATTCTTTCCTCCTTGTTGGCAAGCGACTTATACCTAGCGAGCCTGTTTTTGTTCTACCTTGCGATGATACCTTGTTTTCTTATCACTTACACACTTTATGGCGGGCGGTTCGGTGTACTTATACAGGTATGACGGAGATGGATGTATGGTATACTTGACATGAGAACGACGACGGGGTGAAATGGTATACGATTTCTTATCAAAAGAATAACAAAAAGAAGAAGGTGGATGACATGACATTAATGATGAGCCTCACCGTGAAAACAATTTCGCCAATTGCTTACCTTTTTGCTTTTGCTTTTTGATTTATGCCACAACCGTTGCGCGAACGGAAAGCAGATGTTCATCTGCAAGAAACGAAAGTACAAGCAATCGATCAAATCAATCAATTTCGCTAACGACTGGCATGCTGACAGGCAATTTACCACCAACCGAACCGGACGGGGCCACCCGCTGTGTGCCGTGTGCCGTGTACCGTGTCCCCGTCTCGGCTGCCGCGACGCCGAGGGACGCCCAGGATGTCGTTCGTTTGGGATAGGTGTTGTTGGAGGACGCACTGCTGAAATCTCACAGCCGGCCAGGAGGCTTCATTCACAGTGCAAACAGGTTTGCCACAATTCTACCATGACCGATGTCTCGATGCCGGCCGGACAACTTATAACAGAGCCAAACACATGCTTCGAACAGACCTGGCCAACCTGTTGTGGCGACCTAACTTAACTACCTACAAAACAAAAAAAAGGCTTGAGACTGTGCGATAGTTAGTTGTGTTGACTGAGAAAACGACAGGATGAAGAGGTTGGAGAATCAAAACTAACCTCGCACTGTGCCACAAGCAAAGAGGCGGTTGGGACTCGGGAACTGGGAAGTCACTTTGATGCTGACGGCCACTGAACCTGAACCTGAACCTGAAACTTCCCGTCCTGTCACGCACGGTGGTAACTGCCACTGAAGGAGAAACATCAACTTTCAGTTTACAAAAGTCAAAAAAAAAAAGTCTGAAACATGCTTGGTACATGTACTGTACTCACCGGTGAATCCGACTGACTGCTTTTGGTGTTCATCACAGGCTGGACTAATGGATTAACATGGACGTGGACGTCATGGCTTCTGTTATCTGAACTTGCAGGATATCTAGGTAGGTAGGTAGGTAGGTAGGTAGGTAGGTACTTTATTAGTTAGTGTTACATACCTTATACATTAATGACTCCTGATTGGGGATTTTCATAGGCGCAAAGATTTGACACATATCTCGGCAACAAGTGGAAGCGCAGGTAGGTACGTACCTCGCTGCAAGAACTTTTGAGTTTTACACAGATAAAGCTCTACATAATTCCTTCAATTCGATATACTTGGGTATAGTCAAGACACAGGAAATTCCCCCAAAAATCTCAAGCCCTTCTAGGTATACCATCCACTTTCCTCTCAGAGAAGTAACAGAACCTTCCCGCCGTGCAAACGGTACCAGTTCCAGTTCCAGTTGCTTCCTCAGAGAGAACCAACAGGCACATCCTCTTGGAAGCCAACCGCTTAAGAACTGCTTTAACCAGAGCCCTTGGCGAGAGCCTTAAGACGGTCCAAGCTGCCGTTGAACACGTCGGAATCACCACCATAGGTATAGGTATCCGCGTTCTGCCAAATAGTGTGAACCGACCAGCCGCCGGGCAGGGTGCCGATAGTGCTCGACCATCTGGCCAACACGAGCGGGTTCGTGGTCGCGAACGTCTTGGAGTTGCCGGTGCACTGGTTCCACCACGAGTAGTTGGTGTAGATCATGGGGTAGCGGCCCGTCTTGGTGTGGTAGCGGTCGGAGAAGGACTTGATCCAGCTGACCATGGCCGAGGTCGACAGGCCGAAGCAGGTGGCCTTGCCCGAGACAGACTCCAGGTCGATCATGCCCGGAAGAGTGATGCCGTCGTTGGACCAGCCGCCGCCGTGGGCGAGGAAGTAATCGGCCTGGGCGGCGCCGGTGGACGAGTCCGGGTGCGCAAAGTGGTAGCCGCCGCGGATGAGGCCGGCGGAGGTGGCGCCGGTGTAGTGGGAGGAGAACTTGGGGTCGGTGTATGTGGTTCCTTCGGTGGCCTGTAAGGGAAAGAGGGGGTTTGGGTTAGTACTCTACCTATGAATGGAGATGTGTGATGGAAGGGGGGGTTGAGGATGGGTTTGTTGGAGAGAGGAACAGAACAACTCACCTTGATAATGACGAAGCGGGCACCGGAAGAGTAAGCGCCGGCAAAGTTGACGCTGCTCTGGTAGTGGGAGATATCGAAACCCTGGACAGTAGCCTGGGCAGCGCCGATGAGGCCGGCGAGGGCTGTGAGGACGGAGAAGGACTTCATGATGCCGATTTCTTCTGGTGTCGTGAAGATGATGATGCTGAGAGAGTTGAAGACTGGAGAAGTCAGGACAGAGGAGATTGAGAAAGCGGGATCACCAGAGGCCTTTTTATATCTGAATTTTTTTCCCTGTCCAACCTGTCTCTCTGTGGTACGTCTCAAGGTGGAAACTGATGATCTAAACGGCCGGTGCCGACGAGTTCATCCTCCTCGAATCTTTTCTTTCTCCATGTCTTTCTTCCCCACGTTCAGCAAACACTTGGCTCGGGATTGGTTAGGACAGCGTGGACGGGCGGCAAGGAGCGAAGAAGATGGAGATCTTCAGGTTATTCCTCATGGTTGCAGGAAACAAAAGTTGTTTCCTTTCCTGAAGCGGAAGGAGAACAGGTCATCATCGCAGTGTCTATTCCGTCTTTAGTGGTGCCGACGATCTCTTTCTGTGTCTTCACTCATGTGCCGATGGTGGAACGCGTTGCATCATCGGGCGCTAGAGATGACCTGGGGATGGCGTATGTAACGCTGTCCTGGCTGTCTTTTTGCAAGACGCCGATGGCTGGCGAGAGATCTCCATGTTTTATTGCTGTGAAGAGTGTCCATGGACTGGACATTGTGGAGAGATCGGGAGCGTTTCTCCTTCCTCCTCCTTCCCTTGTCACCCCCACGTGTTGTTCCACAAGTCGCCCGCAGGTCAGCGGTGCATCGTTGAACCGTATGTTTGTGGGAAGAAGATGTCTTGATAACCTTTCTGACTGCCGCAAGAGCAACGAATTCTCACATCTTCACATCTGGCTATTGATGTTCGGGAAAGTGGGCGCTGTGGGCTGAAACAAAGAGGCCCAGCTGCCTATTCAGGAACTGATCTGCCGCTGCTACAGTAGTTGCTTTGGCTGCGGCAGGCAAGAAAGTCACCATTTGTATGATACCTCTACTGATGGCGATGGTTTCCTTTTTCGTTCATCATTTGAGAGAGGGAACATTTCTCAAAACCATATACGGGCATGGTGAGTGGATATCTGACGGCATTGAATCCTTCGGGTATCAGATCGTGAGGAAAGCTTGTCTATTGATGACAGATGGGTTGGCGTCTTGGGATCCGTCTTGGCTGCGTTCATTGAGCTCATTGCCATTCCTTCCGGCTTCGCTGTCGGATCAATTCCATTTTTGGGCGCCACCCATCTGCGGAAAAACCAGGAACGCCCTATGCAGTATTGAGAGGGGAACAAAACATCGTCAAACTATCGATTTCCTGTCAGCGATTGGGGGCGCGGAACAGCCCGCGTTATGCAAGGGCAAGTGTCACAACTTTCGTGTAAGTGCGGTGGTGGTGATTGGTGAAACTTCCCACGAGATTGCAGTACTGACAACGAGCCCATTCTAGGTCCTGCGTATCTTATCTGGCCTACCAGCCTACCTACTGTAGCCGAGGTAATCACTATGACATGACTTTTGAAGAGACAGTTCAAGAGGAGGCTTCGCACACTCTTCATCAATCATTGATATCCCCACGGATTTCTGAAGAGATTCTCCCCAACTTTTGCGCAGCTGGTTTCTCTTTGTGCCGTAAGTCCGCGTGGATCAGCGACGCCCAGCAGCTCCTCAGCTAACCGTGAGCTCATCCCACAGATATCTATCATGACAGGACTTATACAAGAGGCAAAGGATTTTCAGACCTGTTGACTCTCCAACTTGTCTGTACGAACGCCAAGTCGATATATGACATAGGTCAAGAGAGATGGCAACCCAGTGCCAGCTTCTGAGGCTTTTGAGCCTTTTTGAGGGAGGCTTCACCATCATATGTTGGTCTTTGATGAAGGTGGATGGGATCATGGAGCATGGGAGGTTCCGTAGGGATTTTCAGCTTAGACCATCTCAAGACCCAATCCCAGTCCCTCGTTAGCGAGTCCCACGATAGCGCCGAAAATTTGGAACTCGCTGAAAGACGCTCTGCACCACGCTTTACTTCACCAGGCAAGTCATGCGTACCGGTGGCGGAAACCCCACTTCACCTTCCCTTAAAGAATCACACTAGAACGCACCCGGTCCGGGGAGGAAGGATTGTCAGGTCCGTCTCTGAAGGGCTTTGACAGAAGTCAAAACCGGTCAAAACCATGGTCTTGCCACCAACCAGGGGCAGAGCGTTCGTGTGGAGGTCGTGTTCGTTCTACTGTAGGCCAGCAGGGCTGATTAGTGATTACATAGGACACGATATCTGCTGGACATGGGATCCATGAAAGAGATCGCTTCAAGCGAAAGGGATGGGTTTTGGGAGATGAGCATCAAAGGGAACGGGAGGCAACGATTGCCCAAAGAAGCTATCTTGCACTTTTCTTGCAAAAGAAAAATCATCAACTTTGAGGTTTGTCAGCTTCGCACGTGGAGACTCCTTCCACGCCGCGCCATGTCTCACGCTCGCGTGTGCTGAAACCCGACAGACGCTTCTGCGCAGCTGCAGTGATTTCGGTTCGATAAATATTTGGTAAGAAGGAGTTTAGGGCAGTGAGAACTTCAAGCCCCAAAGTCTGTGCACCGCATACTTGGAACGGTGGCTGATTGGATGATGGCAGGCAGAAGTCAATATTGAAAAGACGAAAAATGAGAGCTGGGCCCTCGAGACCGGCCGAGAGCTCTTCTTGCTGTCTTTAAGAATTTTGGCGCTGATACCTACCCCGGAGAAGTGAGATGCCAAGAAGCTCAAGCGTCGCCAACAGAGGCACCCTGAGGTCTGACCGCGCGCAATATTCGTCAACCAAGATGTCTCCGACGAGATACTGTGCATGCAGAAGGGGCCCCGAGCAGGCGGAGATTGACCCTGATCCGGGGAAGGTTGCTACTTAACTGGGTCGGCGAGATTTAGCCAGGCCGTCTGTCGACTGCACTGGCACCAGCCAGCCGTCGACGATATATTGCACGGACCTCGCTTCAGACACCACCTCCCGTTTTGTTTTGGCGCTGAGGGTCCGAATATCATGGCCGGAACATATAGATAGCAGCATGGCCTGGCCGTAGATCATCGAGGTCCACTTTCTCCGGGATGGAGATATACTAAGCCTGGGGCTGGCGACATCATCCCGACTAAATAGAATCCTTCTCGCCAGCGAGCCCCCATAGCAAAATGGCTTCGAACACCGCAGCGCCGGCTTCGAATTCGACAGCCGTCACAAACGAAGGGCCGAAGCCCGACCAGTTCGCCCAGCCGCTTACATGGACACCAGAGGAGTTGGCGTTGATGCCTCACGACAATGCGGCAACTCGTCTCAACGTTGTGATCTGGTTGCTGATCGGCCTCTCGGGCGCCTTTCTTGGGCTTCGTGTATACTGCAAATTCTCTCGGCGCAAAGGGCTATGGTGGGACGATATCATGTTGATAGGAGCATGGGTAGGTTGCTTTCAGGCCCTAGTTGGTATCTTTAGCTGTTGATCATTAACATCGGACCTTTCACAGATCTGCCTTACCGTCGAATCCGGGTTGCTTACCGCGATGACCCGCCTCGGCTACGGTCTCCATTACTGGGACTTTGATGTGATCAACAACATGGCTCCCTTATTGCTGCTTGTCAACATCGCCGGCACCTTCTCGGCCACGGCAGCCATCTGGTCCAAGACAAGCTTCGCCATCACGCTGCTCCGACTCACTCATGGGTGGATGAAATGGTTCCTGTGGTTCATCATCATCACTATGAACATTGCCATGGGCCTGACGGCGCTGTTTCCCTGGGTCAGTTGCACACCCATCCGCAAGTCATGGGAAGTCTTCACCCCAGGAGAGTGCTGGAATCCTACCGTGACGGTTCAATACAACATTTTCTCGGCGTCCTACTCGGCATTGATGGACATTACGCTGGCCCTGCTTCCGTGGTCGGTGGTGTGGAAGCTCCAGATGAAGAAGAAGGAGAAATTCGGGTGTGCCTTTGCGATGAGCATGGGTGTCTTGTGAGTTTTATGGAAGCAGTGTTATGATGATCTGGAGCCTAATGTTCAATTGTTAGCGCGGGTATTACTGGCATCATCAAAACAACCAAGCTTCCGAGCATGTTGTCCTCCGACTTTGGTAAGTTTGCCTATCTATCCAGAATATCAGGGGGAATACAAAGCTGACAGGTGTCATGCTATAGCCGATGGTGTCGACCTCTTCATCTGGGGTAATGCCGAGAGTGCCATTACCATTATGGCTGCCAGTATCCCCATTCTCCGCGTGCTGGTTCGGGATGCCGCCATTTCGCGTCGCTACTACAAGTCTGAGGACAGCAAGGCCATCGAGCCCAAGATGTCGTCGTCTGGTGAAGGCAAACACTCAAGGTCCAAGACAGACTCCGAGAACAACTTGGTCGTGACGGTCGTGTCTGCCGGCCCCAACAAGGTTATGTCAGACGGGCGCGGGCCGGTGATGGGTGAGAAGGACGACTGGAGAGCGCCGCGGACGACTGGCCAGAATCAGATTGTGCGTACCGAGGACTTTTCGCTCGAGTATCACAATCGCAAGAGCCTGGCGAACGATTCGATCTAGGCGGAGTGCGAAGGGCGGGCAGAGAGGGGTGCTGCGATGTAGCCATGTAGCGACGTATTAGCGACGCCGATGTTGGTGGTTTTTAGGAGAAAGAGAAATCCACTCGTTAGATGTTGTTCCCTTTGTATCAAGCGTTTGTAGGATTGTAAGAAGTGCGTTATACCCCTAACTGGCCAAGCCCTGCTTCATAGGACAGTCATTACACATCATTGTTAGGGCATTATTTCCGCACATTGACAGCTCAAACATTGACGTCATTGGCTGAATTGTTGAGGACCCTGATGGCTACGTCTTATCGATAAGGACACTCAACCATATCTAGTTCGAAATCTGCTTGAACATCTCGAAAGGCACAACCACCTCGACGTTACCGATTATTCCTACCCTGTATATTAAGTTAGTAGTTTCTTTGGTTCTAATTACAGGCGATACTGCAGCCCCGCCACCGGCGCATGCACTGGCAGAACCTTCCCTAGTACTACATAAGGCAGCAGTTCAGGACCTTTCAATACCTCCAGTACTTGTAGCTTACGTGGTAAGTGTGCTGGGGCAGAAGATGCGTGGTATTTTCGTAGGTCGTTACGACTGCATTCCGGGTTCGACCCGGGAGCGGGGAGACGACTGAGCTTTTTGCCTTTTTTGCTTTTTCTTCTCTACATTAAGAATTGTATCTCTCAGTCAATTCATCCCCATTTGTACTTGCTCCATCCAGTCTCATCTGCTCTTTCTCGGCACTAGAGGTACCCCTGGACATTCCTATCATCCTTTCTATTGCCCCTTCTCATTCGTTCCTACGACGCCTTCTCCATATCCCTCAACCCGTTGCAACCACCCGACTCCATCACGGCGACAACCACCCCTCAACATCCCCCCTCAACTCCTCCAACGCCTCCCTAATCAACTCATGCCTCGAAACCCCCGCCGCCACCTCCTGCCAGTCCCCAGGATCCACGTGCTCCGTAGTTGCATTCCACACCTTCGTCAACATCTCCTCTCCCACCGGTTTTCTCCCCTTCACTTTGGTCCCTTTTCCCTTTCCGTCGTCCCCTTCCTCTTCTTCCACCATCCCCGGCAAAGCATCCTCATCCTCAAACCCGCACATCCACATAACCTGCCTCACCCAGGCCTCATTAACTGTCACCCCCTTCGTAACCACCACCTTCCTTTGTTTAGTGTTCACATTATACATCATAATAACACTATATTCCACCGGCCCCTTTGCTCGCTCATCTTTCCCATACCCATAGAAGTACTTATGATACGCCCCATCCCAATCCCGCTCTTTCCACGCTGGATCACCAGGCCGTCCAAAGTCCGACGGCAGCTGGATGAAACTCTGCACGGCAACCAGGATGACGGTCTTGTATCTGGTTAACAACCCCCCCTCCTGCCAAAACCGGGGATCGAAGTAGAGTAGGTTTCCGTAAAAGGAGATGCGGTTGTGGGCGCCGTGCAGAGCGGTCGCGAGCTGGTAGGGCTGGTTGCCGGCGCCTGATACTTTGCTGGAGCTAGTGGGCGCGGCGGGGTTGGAGGAGGGGTTGCGTTCGTGGTGTTTACCCGTGACAGATTTGATAGAGGGGCGGCATTTGTAGTATCGTCGGCGAGGTTGTTGATGTTGTTGAGGTTGTGGACGTTGGTCTGTTTGGCCCGGTTGGTGCGGTAGCTCCGTCGACTGGTGAGGTTGGTTAGGTGGTTGAGGTATCACTCCTGGCATTAGGACTGTGATGGATCCGAAGAAATCTTTGAGGACGGTGAGCAGCTTTGGGTTGATGGTGGTTAGGACGATGAGGGATGTAGAGGGGTCTTGCCATTGGTTATAGAACTTCCATTGGGACTTGGGGGTTTGGGAGACGGGACCTTCGTAGACGATGTCGGGGTGAGAAAAGGAAGGGAGGGCGTTGACGAGGGTTCGAGTGATGGAGGGGTTAAGGGGAGGGACGACGGTTTCGGTGTTGCGGAGTTGTTGAAGAGAACGTGGGTATGAATCGTGAATCCTTTTTGCTATGGGATTTGGGTGGGAGAAATTTGGAGCGGACATATTGGATTGGTTGAATGAGATGGCTATGGATTAAGGGAAAAATGAGGGAGATAATGTGAGAGAGGTCAAGGTTGAAAGAGAAAGCTGGAGTGAAGTTCTAGCAAGTTTATAGCAACGGATGTGTTGGGAATGATGGATATCCGTTCTTGTGGGTGAGAGCCCGTGAATCACCTCTCATCCACCATGATGATATGCCCGGTGGTGCAAAACCGCACAATACATACACCACGATCACCATGCTTAATAGGCCCATGTAGTCTTTGTTTCTCCTTCATCCTTGGACATCACTGTACGCTCAAGTGACTTGTCCGGAGCGATCTATGGTAGTAGCCAGTTTATAAGTGGAAATGAATCTCAGAGCAGAGTAAGAGATTATCCTGAGTATACGATAGGATATGTAGCACATAAACCGATCTTTGTAACACAGGGTGCTGCTATCTTTCATATTGATAGGAGGTTGAAAAATATGTATGTGTGATCCCCCGTGGGAGTGAGTAATTTGGACAAGAGCCCCAGCAAACGTCCAATAGTTCCAGCTCATAGTCAAGGTGTTGGGACTGAATGGCTCGATAGAATGGTTCATTTTGACCTTTTACACAAAACCCCTCAATCACTACACCACCACCATGGCCTACTCGGTTTCAACCGATAACACCTCAAATCATCTTCTTGTGCATCACCTTGGGAAGAGACTGACCAACAACGAACCACACCCCGTAACCACCACATGCCTCTGGCTCACCCAACCTTTTGCAACGTAGCACAAGCAATCCTCGTTGAGTTAGCATTATGGAAAACAATCCCTCTGTTCCCGATATAACCCAGATTGATGACATTGAGCGCAGAGTAAGGGTCGTTGAAGCTGCATTTTTTGCATAAACTGGTTAGCAATCACGCCTCATTGTTTACCAAAAACACCCCTGAGCAAGATTCCAAGACCGCCCCCCCCCCCCCCCCCCCC